CATTGCTTGAGAAGACAGTATATGACCTGTGGTTGGACTCTGCAAGCTAGCTGTTGCAACAAGCCTTTTAACAGTGCCACCTATTCCATCACATGGAGATTTACCATGGCTTGTTGCAAAGAAATTCCAGATGCAACAAACAGAAAAATCTTGAGCGTGGTGACATAAATTGTAAAAATGTTTGCAGTTTTTATACTGCCCTGCACAGCCATCAGAAAAATAATGAATTTTTTTAATTGTGGGACAAAGATGAGTTTTAATATGATTAATGGTTTTATGCATAACCTCATTGATAAATCCAACATCATGATTTAAATCATCTGAAATTACCCACAAAGAATGGTTTACCATTCTGAAGTTACCCACAAAGAATGGTTTTATGCATAACCTCATTGATAAATCCAACATCATGATTTAAATCATCTGAAATTACCCACAAAGGTCAGATACCAATTTGCAGTCATATTTCTCTACTAGATCTTAAATTATTCACACAATAAGTATCGCTATAAAATCTATAATAGAGAATAGATGCCAAATAAAGAAATTTTTTGTCTAAATTTCAAAATGAAATATCTTTTCTATGCTTTGAGAACCCAAAACCATTTTTTTTCTAAAGATAGCCTAGGATCACCTACTTCATTTGAAAAAAAAATCGAATCCATGAGACTTGGGCAACTTCGGGAATTAATGAAAGCGCAACCCATGGTTACAAAACAAAAAATTTGACTGGCCATTTTAAAATGAAAAAATAACTATCAAAAAATTTAAATTTCACTATTTTATCTACATTTTTGAATTCAGCACCCTCAAAAATGATCAGGTACTGATTTTCAGCCACATTTTCCCACTAGATCTTAAATTATTCAATTAAAAGTACTACTACAAAGTTCATAATGGCGGAAGTGGAAAAAAATAGGACGTTTTAGGCTGAATTTCAAAATGTCATAACTTTTGAACGGTTTGGATTTGGAAGCTCAAACTTTACATTTTTTTTGTTATATTGATAGGTACCACTGGTTCAAATTTGAAAGAAATCTGAGAGGGTGACTGAAAAATTTCAATTTTTTGTCCCACTTTTACATGGAATTACCCTATGCACAGTTGGCCAGAATTCACTTTTAAAGGATAAAATTCATTACTAATTTAATATTAGGGTTATATTCACTAAAATTAGCATGAGTACTAATATGATGTCTGCACTTTTTATGAAGGTAATATTTTTTTATTTCGTTTCTATGGATACCTTTATTTTGCTTGTCAACAACCTATTTTTGTTTTATACAGTTATTTTACGTGTGCTACATTCACTAAATTTGGCATGAGTACCAATATAAGATCGCACTTATAAAAGTGATAATTTTTTTTATTTAGTTGCTATGGATACTTATATTGTTACCAGATACTTTCCTTATTTACAAAGTGGTAAATTGGTTTTTGAATAAATTTTATTGGATTTTCCACCCACCTACATTGAATAACAATTGAGTGTTTAGATAAATAATTTTTCAGGAATAATAAAAACAAAAAACAGTGCAAGAAAATATTGTCAGTTTAAATTACATTAAAAAATTATAAAACAATAATATCGTTTTAAGATTGTTTAAGTAATAGTATAACATCTGAAGAAAATGCTTTATGATTTGTTAGGTGTGATGTTGATTTATGAAGTGATGAAATAACAGGATCACTGGAAACTAGGACTCTATTAATAAGATTAGTATTTGTTGCTCTTCTGGATTTTTTTGGATGAAATTTTTGCAATAAGATTTGAAGTCTTTATTTTTGGCCTCTTGAACTTTCTCTAACATAAGTCTGATGGATAATGTAAGGCCTTTAATTATGTCATGTCCATGTATACTTTGTAAACTGATTGAGCCATGTTATACCATAGATAAAGGGACACATATAGTCTAACAGTGTCAAAACAATAATCCTTGAATTTTAAGCAGTCTATTTCATATCCTGTAGAGGTTGTTACCAAGATAATGTAAAATCTGAATATAAGGTTTTGATCAATACGCAGAATTACAGCTGTTTGTTCAGGGTTCCCACTCCTCCTAAAAAACCTTAAATATCCTTAAAAAAAACAAATTCCTTTATGCTAATCCCGCAATGGTTATTTGGATTAATTATGGACTTTTTATACAATTTAGCGAGTGGTGTAATAAGTGATGTAGACATTTCTTATGGGTCTACAATAGGGTGTGGATGATTTCTCCAAATAGGCACCTTTTCTTTGCTGTTGTTTAATCCAGTCAAATCCAATGGGACAAGACGAGTAATAAATAATGATTCTTTATGCTTTAAATCTCTGTTCATGTCAGGTTCTGATTAAACTTGTTTATAAATGCTTTGGCTGGTAGCACCATCAAAACCAGCCTTACATCTGAGTGTCATTGTTTTTATTACTTTGTCATTCAATATCAAGTGCCTCAGCACAGGTTCCTTAACTGCACAAATTCTTTGCAAAGTATGAATCATTAAATCTTTCAAAGGAAATGAAGCTGAATAGTCCTCCACTGTAATATTTGTAGGATATTTAAAATGTTCTTGGCAGCAATAACAATAGATTCATCTCTAAATATTTTACTACCAGCAAAAAATTTTTTGACAGTATAGTTTGTAGATTTCCACTTTTTTTATATGAGTAAACAAATTGTTGACCAACATGTCTAAAATCAACATCTTTGAATTCAGCAAATTTTGGCTGAATAAAATTCAATATAACTTCAGTAATACTTTGTTTTGAAATAAGATTGTTTTTTTGGAGAAATTTATGAACTTAGACAAGTTTAATAAAACCGTATCTAAGCAATTCTTGTAAAAAATATTTTTTATTTAAAAGTTTAATGTTCTAATATATATACCGCATGAGCTACTAATTTTTGTTAATAATTTTGTTACTACAAGTGTTAGTAATTAAAATTAAAAGTAATTAAATTACTATTAGTGCTATTAATTAAATTACTAACAACTACCGAAAATATGTTATTGATATGCTATGCAAAGTAAGGTATCCATAGGAACATAGAAAAAATTAAATTTTTTTAAAGTTGTGAATCTTATTTTAATACATACACCCAATATTGTGTACTTAGCGCAAATACAATACGGTTAAAACAAATTTAATATTAAAACTAGTTGTTGCTATGCAAACTCTAGTACCATAGCAACCAAGTTAAAACATATATAAAATATGAACGAGGATTAAAGGAGACAAGAAATCGATGGATGCTAGATTGAAGCATCACATTTGGGGCTTAATGATAAGACTTTGGGGCTTAATGATAAGACTAAATTTGTCTTCTTCTAGCCCCGGTCATATAATTTTTTTTTTTTTATAAGTTACGACTGTAAATTTTTTATCGGCAAAAGTGCAAATAAATAAATAAACATAGCTCAAATAAATATAAAACAGCATATGGCAAATTGTGGCAATTATTAGTTATAAGGCGGCAAAAAATAAATTTCTTTGAGATTTTTTGTTTTTAATCTGTGATTTTCAAAGTATAACTGAGATAACATGATGACAGATTTATTTCACACACTAGTTTTTCTTATCTCTAAATACTCTAGAATAACATGTACTAATTTTTTCTTTAAAAAAAAAAAAAAAGAAAAATATATATATATATATATATATATATATATATATATATATATATATATATATATATATATATATATATATATATATATATATATATATATATATATTACTTTAATTCTTATTACTTTAAAAACCTAGGAGTCTTTATTCCTAATAACAGTGGTATTCAGGTTAAAAATTTAAATGTTTCTGTAAATCTCCTGTTCAGGTTCTTCAATGTAGTTCAAATGTCCCTTATGAAATCTCAGAGTTCTGAGTTCGATCCCCACCACGTCCCTGGTAGTGCTGCGCTCCACTTGTTTCTCCGCACAGCGGCCTTGTTCGTCAAGGTTCGTGTTTCAGAGTTATAGAGTTGTGAGAGGGTTATAACCACTATTAAGTAGCCACTATTAAGTAGCTTCTTGTCTGTAGGGGCCTTCTCGGCCTTGAGGAGGTGAGTAACTAAAAAAAAAAAAAAATATATCATAACGTTGATGTCACCGAAATTACTTATTTTTTTTTTTTTTAGTTTCAATATTTAAATGCTTAGAGTCCTGTTAACTAAGGGATTTAATTTAAATAAATTATCAATAAATATCTCCTAATATATATTGATACTAAAATTATATAAGTTTTCAAGATTAGACAACTAAAATTTTTCCCATTTTGTCCACCTACTGGCCCATTGTGCACAGCTTAAAATCTAAAGAGTTGTGAACAAAAATGCACAATCCACCACCTGCTTTTTCAGAGCCTCTAATTTGATGAAATACTTTATAATTATTAAGTTGAAAATTAGAATTGTTTTCCATTTTCTTATCTCGGCACCATGTTTCTATAAGGCATATAATTTGAAAATTCATTTTAACGCTTAAAAGAAACAGTTTAAAATTCTCAAAATTTTTCCCAACAACAAAAATTTTTGTCCAACTGTGCTATAGCTTAACTTGGGTGTTTGCCATGATTTTGAAATCAAAGGTTTTTCTTGGATAATTTTGTTTTTACTTTGTTTCAACTTTTGTTTCTACTTTTTGTTTTGTTTTAACTTGTTTCTACGCGCAGCAGCCTTGTTCGTTAAGGTTTGTGTTTTGGAGTTATAGAGTTGATAGAGGGTTATAACTTAAAGTAGCCTCCTCATCTGTAGTGGCCTTTTCGGCTTTGAGGAGGTGAATTACAAAAAAAAAAAAAAAAAAAAAAATATTTGGCAAGTGCCTCAGATGCAGATTTTATAATAATGGTATATATTTTGATAAGTTCTTCATAATTGTCAAATAATAATTGTCATTTATAAAATTGTGACATTCTCTGTTATTTATTAATGTTTTTTGAGGAGTTGTCCAATAATTCCATTTGTGTTATCTGATGTTTTTAGGTTGATATTACTTTATTATTTTTAAAAATTTTTTAGGATGATACTGTGGCTTTGGTGGCTCATGAAAATGTTGATTTTAGCGGTTTACACAATGATGAAATGATATCACCAGAGTGGTAAACTTATTTTTCTTTATTTTTAATATATCACCTTTTGAGTTTATTATTTGAATATAAACAATTATATATAAGCTTTCTCAGGAAAAGTGTGCGGTCACACGTCTCATATGACTTGGTATATTTTGATAATTTGTGTGTTTTTAAAGCTGAAGAGAAAATTAAAAATAAACTATTTATTTTTGTTATTTATTAAATTTTATTATATTTTATTATTCATTGTTAAATAATTAAATTTTGAGGTAATTAAGCTTAGATTCGATTTTCTAAACTTCATAAAGTGAAATGCTTTTAAATAAAAATTAAATTTCATTTTTTAAAGTTTACTTTTTATTTATTTTATCATTTGTTAAGATTTTAATTTTTTCAGTTTAATTTTGTAATAGTTTTTTCAGTTTTCATTTCTCTTTTTAGTTTATTGTTTGTTTGTTTTAAATTTTGGTTCAAGTTTACTTTTATATTCAACACATTAAAGTTAAAATTTGTATTCAGCGCATTAAGTTTACATTTGTATTCCACACATATTTTTATTTTCCAAACATGCAAAGAGCAATGGCCAAGTTTTCAAAACAAAGTATTATATGTGTGGTCCTAAAAAGCCTGTGATCACACACCTTTCCTGAGAAGGCTTGTATAAAGTATAAATAATATAGCTAAATGCTAAGTACACACATATACTATTTCTTTCTTTTGTATATTATATAAAAATTCGAAAAAATAAATAACTTTTAAACTACGAAGTTTACTCAATTACTGCAAAACTTAATTGAAACACTTAATTGAAAATTAACAAAACTTCGAACAAAACTTACGAACATTTTTGCAATATCATGTATGTTATACAATTTATAAGTGTTATTGAATATTTATACACAATTTATAAGTGTTATTGAATATTTATACACAATTTATAAGTGTTATTGAATATTTATACACAATTTATAAGTGTTATTGAATATTTATACACAATTTATAAGTGTTATTGAATATTTATACACAATTTATAAGTGTTATTGAATATTTATACACAATTTATAAGTGTTATTGAATATTTATACACAATTTATAAGTGTTATTGAATATTTATACACAATTTATAAGTGTTATTGAATATTTATACACAATTTATAAGTGTTATTGAATATTTTTTTGGTTTTGCTTTTTAAAAATATAAAAAGTACTTTTCAATTTCATTTCGCATTTAATTCAAATAGCTAATTTGTTATTCAAATAAGTTTATTATTATTTATTGTGGTTAGAACATTATTTTTTGTGGATACAACATTTGTTATGGTTAGAACATTTTAGAATATTTTTTAAAGTATCAGTTAAAGTATTTATTGGTCTAGGTAGTTAGTTTAGCTTTGTAGCGCAGACTTAAAGACAAATTTCATTTTTAATAACTTATTTTTTTGAAGTTAAGACTTTTGTACTGTTAATGGTCACAGAAGTTTTTTAGTTTTAATTAATTTTTTATTTAAGAAGTGTAACTAAACTGTTATGCATTTCTAACAATTTTTTATTTGGCATTTTTTTAAAAAATATTTGGCTTTTTCTTAGCAGAGTAGTCTAGTATTAGCAGATTAAAAACCAATGACATAAGACTCAACAATAAGATTCAACAAATGTAGAATTATACATCTACATTAGTATTTTTTGTCACATCACATAGTTTATTACACCACAAAGTTTTTTGGACTCCAGACTCCAAGCAAAAATAGAGGCTCTGGGCTCAGACTTCGCATTACTGATCAAAATGAATTAGAATAATGAAAGCATCTCATATTTGACAAACTCTCACCGAAAAACTGATTTAACTTTCAGTAACAACATTGGGCTACTTTGCTTACCTGTTTATACATTTAAAAATTTAAAGTCTTGTGATGTGGATGTTTTTAAAACAATGAACGTATTTTGAAAGACCTGGTTAACTTTTGCAACACAAGATGATACAAAAATGTAGATAAAACAACTTTTCCATAATTGCTAAAATTGGTTACATACAGTAAGGCACTCAGTTGAACTAATACTCTAACAGTTTTTGTAACTTGTGAAGTTATTTTTTACTGAATGAAAGTTGTTTTACCAGGTAGGAGTTGTGGTGGTAAAATATAAATGATAATAGAAATCAAAATAAGATTACACTGGCAGTCAGTGACATGATTAGTGCTACCCACAAGTTTAGCTGAAAGTCATTTACTTAAAACATTTCAGTTTAGCTGAAAGTCAGATATTTTTTACTCCAAGACAGCGACTAAAAACATTACTATTGATCTTTAAAAAATAATCTGAGAAAAATGACATAAATAGAATTATAAGAATGTTTTACATCTCCTAATTCTTTTGGATGAATCTTGCACATGGCTAAATAAAATAAAATCAAGCAAAAAAAGCCAATCGAAAAATACTTATTATAAAAAAATCTTATTAAAAAATCAATTACCACTGACAGGGGCAAATAAGAGATTTTTAGGAATTTTAGTTCAGAGGTGAAAGAGATTGAAATTGAAAAATGGCAAGTACAGTTAAAAGAAGAAGTCTTAGAAGGTGCATTCAACCCTAGGAATTAGGGTCGACATTTGGCAATGCCGAACTAATTATGTACCTAAAAGTGTTCAAGATCAGCAAAATATTACCGATCTTGTTTCAATGTTTTATGGTAAGACCTTTGTATCAAATTTTTTTGCTGACCTGATGCCGATCTCTAAAAAATTGAGGTTGGTAAATTATTGCCGACCTCATTTTTTCTAATTCCGAGGGTTGGCCATTTCTTGCAGAAAAAAAAAGTTCATATGTGATGATGTTGTGATGTGAGCTTTTAAAAATATAATTTTTTGTGACAAATTTGTCTTGTAGCCTTTTTGCAATAATTTTTAATATTGTTTTTAATTATTTATTATCTCCTTGTTATCTCCTTGTTATCTCCTCTTATTTATTAGATAAAAAATTATGTGTAAAAATATATTTTATACTAGGTAAAATAAAGATCTTATATAATAGCTATAGATTCTTTCTGTATACATTCATATATAGATACATGCATACATACAGACAGACATACACACACATACATACATGCATACATACATACATACATACATACATACATACATACATACATACATACATACATACATACATACATACATACATACATACATGCATACATACTTATGTACATACATACATACAATGCTGGCTGGTGGAGTGTGCAAAGTGTGCAATGCACACAGGCTGCAAATTTCTAGGGGCAGCAAATTTTAAAATCAGTAATTAAATAATCACCAAAAAATAGGTCATTCTTATAATATTGGATCATTATTTATACATGCTTAAAATTATATCAATATTTCAATATTTATTATTTGTAAACAGTTTTCTAATAAAATTGTCTGTGTAGAAAATTCCATAACTCTTTTTTGCTTAATCAGCATTATTAGTACCAATAGAATTCTTGTTCACAGAATTTGTAGGTTTTAATTGTTTTATAATAAATTAATTATTATATTATTATGATCAGTCGTTATTACATGTTCGTGATTTTTATTTTTTAAATTTTGATATCTAAAAGGTCTAATGAAACAAAATGTAAGTGATGAAAACCAAACTAAACGAGATACTTTTTAAAGTTCAAAAACATCTTACAGCTCCAACAATGATCCTGAGATCATTATTTTGCCATATAATTTACTGGAAGAGAAAAGATGAAGTTTATAAAGCAAGATAACAATTAACAGACAACTTAAAAGATTGCAAATTATATCAATCAAAAAAACAAGATGAAGGGAGCAAATTCCAAAGAATTAATGTTCCATGAAAAAAAATTTGACAAATGAGAATTTTCGGAGCACTTCGGAAAAGTCACAGTAAAGGAATGAGACTTAATTAAATGAAGAGTAACTCAAGAATGAATTTTAGTAGATATAACAAGAGACACTAGCCATTATATTATTTATAGAAAAGAAAAAGAGAAGAAACATTACGATGATGTGACGATGGTTGAAGGTTGGCTTCAAGAATAGGTCTAACTACATTTACAAAGTGTTTTTGCACTTTGTCTAAAAGAAAAAAGGCAAAAATTCAAAGGTCTGCTCCAGATATGGCAACAGTATTTCATACAAACATAGAATCCAGAGTAAAAAAGTGGTGAGTACAATAAAGAGATGCAACCTTAGCAGATGCTAATTTTGCAATGAATTTGATATATGTTTTCCAAGAAAGATCAGAAGTAAGGTTAATCCTAGAAGACAAAGTTTAAATGATTCATTACTGTTCATATATATAGGAAGATCTAGGTTGTTAGAATAACCATTAGCTGAAAAAAATTGAGTTTAACTGAGTTAAAGTTCACCAGCCACTGAGAACCCCATGCTGTAGCAGAAGTGTGATCCTTTTCAAGCTCAAATGCCCCCTCCAAGCAATCAGAGAGTTTGGCTTCTTATTAAGAAAGAATAAATGGTAGTATCATCAGTAACCAATGCCATCTTAGATGTGAGAATTTCAGAATTTCAGTTGATGTAAATTAAAAAAAGTATGTGGCCAAGAATAGAACCTTGAGGAACCCCTGAAGTTGAACGGAAATAAAGAAAAGTGCTGTCCATCAAGGACAACTTTTATATTAATTTTGGTAAAAAATGATTTAATAATCTTAAAAATGTGACACATAAAAAGAGAACTAATGGAGAAGACACGTCAAACTTTATTAAAGGCTTTAGAAATGCCAAGAGCAATAGCTTTAGCCTCTCCACATTTTTCTAATGCACCATAAAACCTATCAGTTATTACTGTTAATAAATCAGCAGTAGCATAAAAAGTTTGAAATCCATATGATAAGAATGTAAGTTATTTAGTTTAAGATGAGTAAATAAGTGTTTGTTAATTAAAAACTCAAAAACCTTGCTTATTATTGGAAGAAGGCTAATGGGGTGATAGTTAGATGAGTCAGATCACTCTCCAGGATTTTTGAAAATAGGAATTCAGATGCCGCTTTTCAGCATACTGGAAAACAATACTCTGATAAACATTTGTTACATAGTTTTAAAAGTATTGGCGAGAGTTCCAGAGAACACTTCTGGAAGACTATAACAGGCTTATTGTCCAGACCACAAGCTGTAGAAGAGTCTAAGCAGAAAATCACTTTAGATACAGAAGCTGGAGTGATATGAATGTCAAGCAATAGATAAACATGTTTTTTAGCTATACCAGGTAGGATGAGATTAGTGGAATCAAGAGATGATGTTGATAAAAAGTTAGCAAACAATTCAGATTTGTCTTTAAGCGAGGTAATAAAATCTGAATCATGCAAGAGAGGTGGAATAACAGATTTGCTCTTATTATAGACACTGTTAAAGATTCTCCAGTAGTCTCTGAAGCCTAATTTTTGAGATGGAATACAAGATTTTGTGACCTGAGAATAGTGGGATATAGTGTTAGAAAAAGCCTTTTTACAATGGTTTCTAGCAATAGTAAACAAAGTTCTGTTTTCTAAAACAATGTTTTGGTGATAGATATGGAAGTAATGGTTTTGATTGGCAATTGCAGCAGCACAATGTGAGGAAAACCATGGAGAAGAGTTAGGCTTGACCTGGAATAGTCATGAGAGAATAAAGGATTCCATGTCAGCCTGAATCCACGAAGTTATGTAAGAAGCACATTTGTCAACAGGAAGACGAAAGATTTCTACCCGAAGGCCATCACAAAGAAAATCACGGAAAGAGTCCCAGTCAGCTTTAAGGTAGTTGTAAGATGTACGATGATAGGAGGATTCTGATGATAAAGAAAAATGAGATAATAGTTTTGAAAAGAGATCAAACCGTGACCAGAAGCATCTGAGAGTGAATGTGGTGAAACTGAGCACTGATATGGATCAGAAACAAGGCATAAATTGAGTAGAGAAGGTAAATGATTCAAGTTGTCTGGAAAGCTGGAAAGTTGACTATTTAAGTTAAAAATTGAGAAAGGCAAATGTTGTGGGTGTTACCGCCTACAAAGTCACTGATATTTGAACCAAGCCATTCAGTGTGATGAGCATTAAAGTCAACATCAACAACGATATTGGCTGAAGGATAAAGAGAAAGAACTTGACCAATTTAACCAATTTAATGCGGTAGTGGTGTAGTGGTAGGGCGCTCGCTTCATAAATGAGTGGTTCCGAGTTCGATCCCCACCACATCCCTGGTAGTACCGCGCTCAACTCGTTTCTCCCCGCAGCGGCCTTGTTCATCAAGGTTCGTGTTTCGGAGTTATAGAGTTGAGAGAGGGTTATAACCACAAATAAGTAGCCTCCTCGTCTGTAGTGGCCTTCTCGGCCTTGAGGAGGTGAATTAAATTTAAAAAAATAAATAAATAAAAAAAAAAATCAGAAATAACCTCAAAAATGATTGCAGTCTTTAGCTAAAGGAGAGCGATCAAGAACAAAAAGAAAGGTGATAGAATTTATTGGTGCTAAACAAAAGCACATAAATTATTTGTCTGTTGATTTAAACTTAGTTTTCCAACAAATGGGTTAATTCTTATGAATGTAAATGCCTAGGCCGAGCATGTGACTATTAAAGTCTTTAAGAATTAAAGGATGATAACCATCAACACTAAGATCACAAGTCAGAATAGCTGAACTCAAATTGAACTCACAAAGAGCAAGTAGGTCTGGCGAACTTTGCAAAAGATAAGACTCAGCAGAAGAAAAGTTACATTGAAGACGACGAATATTAGTGAATGATAAATTTAGAGAACTTGATGATGACGATGGTTTTTTGTATTTTATAGAAATCAATTCAAATGAAATTAGAGAACTTGAAGTTAAGATATAAGCTGAAGAATTGAGCTGAAACAGAGAATTGAGCAAAACTGAAGAGCCATTGACAATTCAAACCCTTATTCCTGAGAATTCAACTAGCATGCTCTTTTTTGTACAGGGGATAAAAATTCTCATTGGTCTCTTAAAAACCATAATATTCAAGAAATAGTTATAAAAGGTCCTGTAAACCATTAATCAAACCCGAGAAATTGTGAGAATTATTTATTCAGCTCAAATTATTTTTTGCTGAAGATCTTTGATTGGTGAAAGTCATCCTAGATTATGGCTAATTTTCTCAAAAAAAAAAAAAAAAATCTTTGTTTCTGTTGTAAAATATCAACAATACAGATATTTCTCTTGCAAGAAAGGATCTGCTGACTGGAGACATTACCAAACTTAACAAGACATGAAGTGTTGATCATATAGGAAATTTTGTCAAATAGATCAAGTTGAAAAAAAAACAGTTGAAATGAGTCAAAGTTTAAAAACTGTCGATTGTTAATGGAGAAATAACTTTTGAATGAAATCGATCAATAGAATAATGTTCTTAAATGGATAATTTCCATAATTATTATAATGGCATCACAAAACATTGCAACTGTATGAAGAAAATAATTAAAATTTCCTGAAAATAGTTGAACTTATTTGACCAAATTATGAAATATTATGCTTCAAAAGCGAGGGAAATTCCAAACAAATTGCATTATTTAAGCCAAAAATATCTAAAAGGCAAGTATTTAGTTAGTGGCTTACGCTAGTAGGAAGGAAATCCTTAAAAGTTTTGAAAGCCAAATACCACCTTTTTATTGCGGATTGCGCCCCAAATCAGTCAGTCATCATCATTAAAATTTATGATATCTAGTCATAATAGATTATGAAAAGATTTCATAAGATTTCATCTTAAATTTTTTGTTAATGATACTACAGGTTTAGAAATAAGCAAGCACTCTTTGTCTTTTGTACAACACAATTATTTAATCTTGTTGTTGTCAATTCTGTAAAAATTGGACATTTTTTTAGAAATTGTGACATTTTTTTGGAATTATTTATAGCTTTATGCGCAATACGTTAAAGTATTTTAGAATTGAAATGCAGATCACTAACAATCTTTAAGTGATGGGAGAGTCATATCAGAGCTGTGAAAGTAATCAAGGAAAATATTCAACAAATTTATGAAGCGCTGCCTGAAGTTGCCAAAAGTGGTAGTGATGGAACCACTAAATTAGCTGAATCTATTGCTGCTAAAATGGATACTTCAGAATTCATAAAAGGAATTGTTGTTTGGCATGATGTATTAAAAAAAATAAGCTACACAAAAAAAAGTTTGGTTTTGGTAACAACTTAACTTCTAATATATGAATTTCTTTCAACCTAACATTTGAATTTATCAATCTGTCAACTGAAAGAATCAGGAAGAAAAAAAAGTTTTTTGACAAAGTTGAAACAATCCTGCATTCAGGATTGGTTCAACTTTGGTCAAATCAAACTTTTTAGTCATGCCTTTAAATCTATGAAAGAGCGTTTAGAAGACTTTCAAACAAATATGTCTCCGTTTCAGTTCTTATTTAAAATTCCCAATATTTTAGACATGAATGAGGATATATTGAGAGATAACTGTAGTTTATTGGAAGAAAATTTAAACTGATGAAGATAAAAAAGATATTTCTTATGAAAAATCGCTGACTGAACTTTGTTGTCACGAAAAAATGATGAAAAATATCCCACTTAATATTTATTTTCACCCATGATCTTATAGAAATATTCCTTAATAAAACAAACAAATTAAAACAAATAAGTTAAGTTAAATAAATAAGTTACAATATGAGGGAGCTGAGACTTGAATTTTGGCCAAGTGAAAGCCCACCTCTAAAACAATAAAAGTTGTATAATTAAATTTTTATATAAAGTTCCAAATATTCAATACTTTTTAAGTGTTGAATAATTATTTTCAAATTTAAAATTTGATAAAGATTTTTATTTTTTTTATATATAAAAAAGAAGTCAATACTGGATGAATTTAATGATAAATACCAGAAGTTATTATGTTTAAATATATTTAGAGTTTAATTCAATTTTTTAATTTTGAACAACAATTTGTTCTTTAGTTACAGTTATTTTATGCCATATACTTGTATATACTCATACTTTAATTTGAGATTTGAAGAGGTATTTTTATATTTTTGCTTCAGTGTACTTTTTTTTTTCTTATGAATATAACACATTACTCACTTTATAAACCATTTAAATAGTTGATATTTTTAATATTAAAGAATAAAATTCATAAACTTCTGTTAGGGTAACTTTTTCCCAATCAACACTGAGGATGAAAGTTTCATTCATTTTAGCCTATTGTTTTTTCTGGCCTTTTTTAAAGATGAATTAAAAATTAGGGTGGCAAATTTTTTTTTATACTCGCATATATGTGATATATATGTGACACATATACAAAATTATGCCCTTGAGCCGGCTCTGCTTAGATACTTAAATACATACATACATACATACATACATACATACATACATACATACATACATACATACATACATACATACATACAAACATACATACATACATACATACATACATACATACATACATACATACATACATACATACATACATACATACATACATACATACATACATAGATGCATACATACATACATACATACATACATACATACATACATACATACATACATACATACATACATACATACATACATACATACATTCATACATACATACATACATACATACATGCATGCATACATGCATACATGCATTCATGCATACATACATACATACATACATACATACATACATACATACATACATACATACATACATACATACATACATACATATATACACAAATATATACACAAATATATACACAAATATATACATACATTATTTTTTACTACATTTTTAAATCATATTTATTTTGTAAAATTATTTTTTCAAGGAGCACAGCTGTTGAAGAGGTAATGTTCAATCTGTTGTTCAATCTAATGTGAAATATTGTACAGTTAATGGTAATTTTCCAGTATTTTTTAGATATTTTAAGACCTTGTAATCTGTATTATAATGCCAAGTCTTATCTACCAGTAATTAGTTACAGTAGCTAAGACATGATGATGTTTCAATAATCCAAATAAAAATTTGGTATACTTCAAAGTTCAACTTGCTGAGAGATTCAACATGTTTTATAGAATATCTCAGTATTGAAGTGTTTTAAAATACTCCAATACTGGAGTATTTAAAAAGTTTCCTCAGTATAAACTAAAAAGAACCTATGATAGTGCCATGATAGTGGCATGTTTTATATTTCTTTACTTTCCTTATCCTTTTTACTTGTCTTTCACTCAACTATTTTTTTTACATGATCGTTAGTAGATTGATAATTACGAGAAACCAATAATTGAATTAAAGTTTCAAATTTATTATTATTATAATTTTTTTATTTACAATAAAAGTATTTGTTGTTACAAAATATAAAAATATATAAATGCAAAATATAAATGCAGTTTCATTTCCACCTATTTTAAATACTCATTTTATTCATTTTAAATGGATATTTTCATTTCAAAAAAAAAAAAACGTGTAAAAATGCCTAGACAACAGTGGCTCAGTTTTTGAGGATGTATTTCCCACAAAGGTACTGGGTCCATAAAGATATATGAAGACTCTATGAATCAGTTTTTGCACAGACACCCTTTAAATATGCTTGAAACCATTTGAAATATCAAAGTTCTAACAAAGATCTCACAACTTTAAATGCCAGCTAGATAGTTCTCCTTGCCACACAGCTAAGAGTATCAAAGATTATTTATAACCCAAAAAAAAACTTAAAATAATTTTTAAGTATTGAAAATTATTTTTTTTCTCTTTTAAACCTGGATTCATCCAAATGTCATTTTGTTTTTTATCTTTAGTTATGTTTAACTTTTTTTTTAATATTCTGCTAAATTATATTTAGTTAATATTAAAATATTAATTTAATTTTAATTAAGTGGCACCTTTGCTAATAAATTAATAACACCTCTCCTATAGTTTTTTAAAAAATTGCTCACTAAAAGTATTTGTTTGAACAAATTTTTACTTGTCTAAATTTTATTGTGCGACTGCATTTTCCATTCTTGATATTTATAAATTTTAATTCGCTTGCATATTAATTATTTAAACATTCACTGTAATTAAATATCTTCTGTAAGAGAGTGTGTACAATATTCCTAATATTTTTGTACCAAGTTAAAGTGTTGGCTAAATCTCTTACTTTACATTTTCTCAGATTATCATTTACCACTGACCTGGAAACTAAATAACAGCTGAAAATTTAGGAAATCTAAATAATGTAAAAAAGAAGTTATTAAAAGAAAACAAAAAAAAAAAACAATTTTAAGTTTAAATAAATTATGTTGTTTGCATGTTTTGTGCATTGCTTATATTGACATGTACATTGGTGTATTTTTCGCATTGTTGTATTTTTATTTTTTTGTGGTGTTTTTAATTATTTTTATTATTGTTGTTTTTTATATTTGCTGCTATTATTCAAGTGATTTCTTAATTTTTGTCCTATAACCTTTTGTTTTCTTTTTGATTTTATATTATACTTCTGATTATTAAATGTTTTTTATCTCATTCACTCATTATCTCTTGTCAGCTCATTCACTTTTTTATTTTAGAAGTCTTGCTTTTTTAAATGTTATTGTTCTTCTTTTTAATGATCTGTATTATTATTTTTTGTTGTTTGTTTGTTTTTTGCTTTATTTGTGTATTTTATTAAGGTTTTACTCCAATAACTAGATTTTAAATAGTTCAAATAGAGTGACATGGAACCTAACTTTGTATATAAGTTATAAATAAATTCTTAATTTTTTTAATTTTATAGTTAATAATTAGATTCAAAAGATTGATATCAAAAAGATATAAATGAAAATTGTATCATGCCATTCTATATTGACAATGTCATGCTGATGTTGGAATTTATTTATTTATATTAAATGAATAAAAACAACTTTTGATGGAACTCTGAGTTTCATGCCTTTTGGCAATCATCAGCCATTGTGTATTTCGTCACCGTTTAAAAATTACAAATTAAAATTACGGTGGAACGAGTTCTGACGTTACCAAACAAAACAAAACAAAACAAAAAGACGTCAAAGGTTTTTGTCCCCGGTATCAAATAAGGATAGTAAAGATTTTTTTGAATGCCGGCACTTTGATATTATTTCATATCTTTTATTAAGTAAGTTTTCTCCTTTATATGATTATATGTGAAACTTCTCGCGGAGACAAAGATTACAAACTTTTGATGCTTGATTGTAGGGCTTACATTGTGCTATTATCTTCCATGTAATCACAGGATTTATATGTTTCGATTTTAGCTCCCATATTTCTTTGGAAAGTTCAGTGTCATTTTTATATTTGGGTGCATTGAAAGATTTAAGATGGTTGGCATATCTTAATTTAAATGTGGTTTCACTTATACCAAAATAAACTTTATCTTTGCATTGAGGATCACCAGAACTTACAGTGGCTCGGTATACGATATTGCTAAAAAGGCATTGGTTATTTAACGGACAAATATTTTTGTCTATGCAGTTACATTTTTTTTGATGTTTTATTTTTATCGCTATGTAAAATTTTGTTATTATGTGTATTTATTAAAGACTTGACATTAGGCATGCAACTATAGCTTACTTTAACAGTTTCGATTAAAAATTTTATGAAGCCTGTGTCCTACTGGAAAGTGTTGGTCAACTAAAGCTAAAAAGCGATTTCCAATTTTAGTTTCAACATTTTTGCTAAACGGGGGGTTGTACCATATAATTTTACGTTTGCGATGTCTTTTTTGATTTTTGTTTATTTGCAGTTAATAGGTGAGTTTTGAATTGTATCCTGATTTACGTAAAGCCTCTTCATACGGAATAATTGAGTTATTGAACACAGTTTCATTTACTGCCATATTCGATAATCTTAACTCAAAAGTGCGAGGGATTTCTTTTATTATATTAGGTGGATGGTTTGACTCTGAATGAACATACATAAGTTGGTTATTAGGTTTACAATACGGTTGATAAGAACTGTCAATTAGGTTCAATGTTACATCAAGAAAATTGACAATTTTAATATTACATTGGATGGAGATAAGTAGGTTGTTACTTTTAAAAATATGTGTAAAATGCTTTTTGATTTTTTCCATTTGCTGGCCGCTTTTGTTTTCAAAATTAGCAAGCCCGTCGTCACGATACAAGTCAAAATTATTTTTATCGTAATGTTGAGAGCTGAAACAACATAAAAATACCAACTAGTTCACAAACTTCAGCTCCATCAAATGCTCCCATTGTGACATCAAATAATCCGCCTCTTTTCTTTATCCAAGCTTCGTCGTTATTAAAAATTAAAGATTTTCTTGCATGATATATTATTTTTTTATCGTCATTTTTTATAATAACATGTTGTTCAGCGAAACTGATTGCGTTGATAAGAATGTTTTCACTAATAGATGGGTAAAAATCATTTATATCAAAAATTAGAAATTTGCAAAGGTGTTTATTTTTGATTTTTTTAAACCAATCGATAACAAAATGGGTGCTTTGCCATTGATTCAACTGTATTATTATACCATAATAATACATTTTCTATTTTGTATATATATATATATATATATATATATATATATATATATATATATATATATATATATATATATATGATTTAAATGTTGACATCTTGTACGAGAGTAAATATATATATATATATATATATATATATATATAAACTAATTTAAAACATCAGATAATACGAATTCTCTCAATACTAAATAATTCATTTGAAATTTTTGCCGGATTATAAGCACCGGCATTATCAGCATATAATATAATATAATTACAAAAATTGTGACCGTTAAATAACAACAAAAAATTTTTAAATTTTGATGTCACCTTTATAATGGCTTCTTTTACCTAAGTATGAAAAAAAAATGAAGTCCAAAAATTTGTTTTTAAATATTGTCCATTGTCCAAATTCATACCATCGTACGTTGGAGAACATTGATGTTTTTGTATCTCTAAGGCCTCACGGACTTCTTTCAAACTTTTTATCCTCAACTTTAAGTGTTATTACTTTATTCCATTCAATGTCCTCATTACAATTTACTTTATGCAAAGCTAATGCAGACTGGTTTAACTTGCCTTCAGTCAAAAAATTTTGGTGTTGTTGAACCCTTGTTCGTATTTGAAGTTTTGTTTCACCAACGTATACTTTGGAGCATTTGCACTTAATTAAATAGGTTCCTGGGGTGCTGTTGCATGGTAATTTAGACTTATTTTTAGACGTTAATAGTGTTTTTAGGTTAGCATTTGATTTAAAAACAGTTCTGTAACCAGCTTTTCTGAATATTCTTTAAAGTCTGGGAGATATTATTGGTATCCATGGTAAAGAGATTGTAGGAAGGTAATTAGAGTTTGATGGAATTTCATTTTTGTTTGCAAAACGTTTTTTTCGAACCTGATTAGAAATATCTTTAAGCATTATTTCATAGTATCCATTTTCAGTAAACACTTGAATTAAAAAATTTATCTCATCTTTTAAATGGTTTTCACTGCATATTGAGTATGCTCTGTGTATGTATCCTTTGAATATTGCATTAACCACTTTTCCATCTAATCGCCTGTTGATTGTCTCTATCTTTGATAAGAGGAAACATATCAATCTTTAATGCTGCTTGTCCGCTCCCATTTGTTTCTTTGCACCAATTTATAGCAGCTTCTAGTTGCTTATTTTTTTCATTAGTTTTCTGGCATTAGTTTTCATTAGTTTTCTAAAAGACGGTATCTTAATCTTATTAATATTACTAAAAACCTCGAGAGAGATCTTAAAAATAAGATTGAAGACAAAGACTATAATCAAGTGCTATTTATCACTGAAAAAGCTCGTGAAAATATGTTTATAAAATCTAAAGAACGATTAATTAAAAAGTTCAAAATACTTCAAAGTGAATTCAATTACAACAAAAGTAATAAGAAATTAACAAAATACACTAAAAACGTGATTTTAAATCTTTGTGATACCAAGATACCTGAAAATCAAATCGATCTTCTGAATCTTGGTCCACACTTTGTACCTTCCTTGAGATCTATACCTTACATGGACATTATTACAACAACTGAATCGTCTGCCTTAAAACTCGAATATAATAAAGAAATTGAAAAAGCGCAAAACCTAAGGAAAAATGTACTGAAAGAACTTAAAATGGGCAAAAAAATTAATCATAATCTAACAAGAGATCAAAGAAAAGCATTTAAAGAAAATTGATATATATCCATTTGATAAAGGAATAGGATTTGTAAGAATAGAACATGATAAAGCAATTGAAAAAATTAGAGAACAGATTGGTCCAACAAAAATTATTAGTATTGATCCCACTCTAAGTTATGCAGCTAAAATAAAGTCTTTCGTGGTGTATGGGCTAATTAAAGCTCATAAACAAGAAAAATCTTATCCGATGAGAGTAGTTGTATCAACTATTGGCACACCTTGTTATGTAATTTCGAATTACTTGGTTAAAAGAATACAACCGGTCTTAAATGAAAATCCTATTAAGTTAAAAAATTCAAAAGACTTTATTAACAAGACTAAGTCGTGGTTGATTGACAAAGATGAAATACAGGTATCCTTTGATATTGTGAACTTATACCCATCAATATTATTAAAAGAAGCAACTTTAATACTTTTGGATCAATTAAATAAAAGCATTTCTTACAAAAACTCAACTAAACTTACTTTATCTGAAACAAAACAACTAATTGAACTTTGTTTGTTTCGTTGTTATTTCTTGTGGAATGGTGAAATTCATGAGTTGGAGAATTCAGGCCCAATTGGATTGTCTTTTATGGCTGTTTTGGCTAAATCTTTTTTACAATACCATGAGGAAAAAGCAATAAAAATGGCAACGACAATGATTCCTTTAATTGATATTAAATCCTTTCATAGATATGTAGACGATAGCCATGCAAGGTTTTCTAACTTAAATCAAGCGGAACAGTTCCAAACAATTCTTAACAGACAACATCCTTCTTTAAAATATACTATTGAGGTTGAAAACAAAAATAAGATACTTAACTTTTTGGATATAACTATTATTAATCATACCCAAGGAAAATATGAGTTCAAGGTTTACAGGAAGGATGCAATAATCAATATCCAAATCAAACCTCATTCTAATCATGATCCTAAAATTTTAAAAGCAATATTCAAAGGATACATACACAGAGCATACTCAATATGCAGTGAAAACCATTTAAAAGATGAGATAAATTTTTTTAATTCAAGTGTTTACTGAAGATGGATACAATGAAAAAATGCTTAAAGATATTTCTAATCAGGTTCAAAACGTTTTGCAAACAAAAATGAAATTCCATCAAACTCTTATAACCTTCCTTTAATCTCTTTACCATGGATACCAAAAATATCTCCCAGACTTAGAAGAATATTTAAAAAAGCTGGTTACAGAACTGTTTTTAAATCAAATGCTAACCTTAAAACGCTATTAACGTCTAAAAATAAGTCTAAATTACCATGCAACAGCACCCCAGGAACCTATTTAATTAAGTGCAAATGCTCCAAAGTATACGTTGGTGAAACAAAACTTCAAATACGAACAAGGGTTCAACAACACCAAAATTTTTTGACTGAAGGCAAGTTAAACCAGTCTGCATTAGCTTTGCATAAAATAAATGGTAATGAGGACATTGAATGGAATAAAGTAATAACACTTAAAGTTGAGGATAAAAAGTTTGAAAGAAAAGTCTGTGAGGCCTTAGAGATACAAAAACATCAATGTTCTCCAACGTACGATGGTATGAATTTGGACAATGGACAATATTTAAAAACAAATTTTTGGACTTTTTTTTCATATTTAAGTAAAAGAAGCCATTATAAAGGTGACGTCAAAATTTAAAAAATTTTTGTTGTTATTTAACGGTCACAATTTTTGTAATTATATTATATTATATGCTGATAATGCCGGTGCCTATAATCTGGCAAAAATTTCAAATGAATTATTTAGTATTGAGAGAATTTGTATTATCTGATGTTTTAAATTAGTTTATATATATATATATATATATTATATATATATATATATATAATATAATATATATATATATATATATATATATATATATATATATATATATATATATATATATATATATATATATATATATATATATATATATATATATATATATATATATATATATGTATATATATATTTATATATATATTTATATATATATATATATATACATATATATAATATATATATATATATATATATATATATATATATATATATATATATATATGTATATATATATTTATATATATATATATATATATACATATATATATATATATATATATATATATATATATATATATATATATATATATATATATATATATATATGTATATATATATTTATATATATATGTATATATATATATATATATACATATATATATATATATATATATATATATATATATATATATATATCTATATATATATATATATATATTATATATATATATATATATATATATATATATATATATATATATATATATGTATGTATACATCAGCCCTCAGAATAAGGTTCGGCAGTAAAGACTTATTAGAAATGCATTTCTGATGAGTCTTTTTTGATGAAACACAGTGAATAATGAAAAAATTTTTGCTTAGTGATTTTCTTATATATATATATATATATATATATATATATATATATATATATATATATATATATATATATATATATATATATATATATTTATATATATATATATATATATATATATATATATATATATATATATATATATATATATATATATATATATATATATATGTATATATATATGTATATATATATATATATATATATATATATATATATATATATATATACATATATATATATATATATACATATATATATATATATACATATATATATATATATATATACATATATATATATATATATATATATATATATATATATATATATATATATATATATATATATATACATATATATGTATATATATATATATATATATATATATATATATATATATATATTTATATACATATATATATATTAACATATATAATATATATATACATATACACACATATATATATATATACATATACACATATATATATATACATATATATATATATATATATATATATAAATATATATATACACACATATATACACAGTTATTTCCCTTGAATTATACACACACATATATATACACAGTTAATTCTCAACAAAAATAGTTTCACTTTATGAATGTTTGACTCAAACAAATTCCTGTTAAGTTGTACTTAGGCTGGAATTAGATAATAGTTCAACTTAAGCATGACTGATGCTACCAGTGGGGCCAGGAGGCACTTGTTCTCCCCTGCTCTTGCTTCTATACTTTATTTTTAAAAGACTTTTTTTTTTTTAAGAAACAGAGGATTTTTTTGAAAAGTTAGGATTGTGCCCCACCTCATTAAAACTGTGTTGTCAGCCCTGTTAAGGCAATTCTCCGTTAATGAATGATAAAGTATTAAGATTAAATACACACCATTATAGTTAAAAAGTGTGATAAATGATTCAATGAAAGAAGTTATTTATTGTATTTATGCTAAGTACTAGTGTTACCAAATAGGGTGTTTGAAGAAAAGCAATTTTTTTCAATTTTGCAATAAAAAGCGATAAAAAGTTACTTCAATTTGCATTTAAATAAACTCACAATAAATCATCCAGCAATTTGCTCTATAAAAATGACAACATCACAATTACTGAATAAAATATGGCATTCGTAACTAAGCACCCCTGATTTTTTATTTTAATATCGAAATTTACTATATTACCAAAATTTACTTTTGTTGCGGTAATGCCATAACATTCAAAAAGGTTTTGTGAGACAATGACTTCTTTATTATTTGGTAATAAAATTGCATCTAAAAGCAAGCCAACTTTTATTTTTAATTTTTTTATTATTTATTAAAATTTAGAAAATCATTAAAACTAAAAAATAATTGCTTTTTTAACAATATTTTATTAACATATATTTTAATAGTTCTATTATAGCTCTAATATGCGTCCATTATAGCAATCCATTCTATTAAGATCTAAATACAACAACAACTAAAAACTTCTTCAAAAAAGTCGAAGTTATTATTTTTTTCCCCATACAGAAACTTTGTGTTTTCTAAAATTTGCTAAAAGGGGACAAAAAAATGGTTCCACTTAACAAAGTTCGAGTTATCTGAGGATTGACTTAACCAGAGTATATTTATAGTAATCAATTAGAGGACTTCAAGGGGCCAAATGAAACAGTTTGAGGTTACGAAAGTTGGAGTTAACCAGTGTTCGACTTACCGGGAATCAACTGATAATTATTTATTCATGTGTGCTTATATTTATTTATTCATGTGTGCATATATATATTTATTTGTGTGTGTGTGTGTATATATATATATATATATATATATATATATATATATATATATATATATATATATATATATATATATATATATATATATATATATATATATATATATATATATATATATATATATATATATTTATATATATATATTTATATATATATATTTATATATATATATATATATATATATATATATATATATATATATATATATATATATTTATATATATATATTTATATATATATATTTATATATATATATATATATATATATATATATATATATATATATATATATATATATATATATATATATATATATTAATGTATATATTTATATATCTATGTTTGACTTTTAGGCTGAGTATGGTATATCAAAAATTCAAAGCCGAAGTATGATTTAATTTTTCCTAATTAAAATTTAATTAATAAAAAGATTGTATTACAGAAGGTTAAAGAATATTCAAAATTATAATAAATGTGCAAGGAGTAAGAAAATAAGTAAACCCGAAAAACAAAAAGGGATTAAAAAAAAAAATGACATTGTTTTGAAATAAGGGACTTTGTTTTTATTTTATTAAGAAATTTTAGTTAATGTTTTAGCAACATCTTTTATTTTTTTATAAGATTTTTTTTTCATAATAGTTAAAGACCTCACTTCTTTACATAATAAACATTTGAATCGACCATCTATGGATGACAGCATCAATGAAGAGCACACAATTGATATTACTACACAAGAAATCACACAGGTTAATTAATTGAATTTTTTTTATTGAATTTAATTAATTTTCAATAGATTCTATCTTTATTTTATTATTCATTAGAAAAATTTTCTGCAAGGGCTTTTTATTAATGACATCTACTATAATTATATTAATTTAAAAAAATACAGTATATATATATATATTATATATATATATATATATATATATATATATATATATATATATATATATATATATATTTTCATTTATAATATGAATAAATATATTATACCAATTAAAATTTTAATTTGAAAAACTATTATAAAATAAAGTTAAAAAAAAAAATAATTTTTACTCAGACCGAATAACATGGAAGCTGTAACATGAATAACATGCTGTTGGTGTATATTAGAGTTATGTTATTATAACTTTTATCAAAAATTATATGTGAAATCTTTCCTAAATCATGAGTAATTGTATTCTTAACACAGCTTAATAAAAAGATAATTAAATAATTTAAAATTTGATGAGTTCAAAAAAAATTTTTCAAAAATTATTTTAAAGTAAAACAAGAAGCTTATATATATATATATATATATATATATATATATATATATATATATATATATATATATATATATATATATTTTATGACTTTAGAATAAAAAAATAGAAAAAGAGAAAATAAAAAAAAATAAATTTAAAAAACTAAAATTCATAAAGGATATTATTCTATTTAATGCTTTTTAAATGGTAGTATTTAAATAGGTGGCAATATTCGCCACTACTATTTATTCTTGTCATGATAAGAAGCCAACACTCTCTGATTGCTTTGAGAAGGCATTTGAGCTTGAAAAGGATCACACTTCTGCTACATTATGGGGCTCTCAGTTGCTGTTGAACTTTAACTTTTTGTTGAATTTTTTTTTTGGCTTTTCATTATTACAATAATCTAGATCTTTCTACATTTATAAACGGTAATGTACTCGATGAGTCATCTACCTTTCGTTTTCTAGGATTAACTCTTCGGATCTTTCTTGGAAACTATATATCAAATTTATTGCAAAATTTGAATCTGCTAAGGTTGCATCTTTTTATCGTGCTTGCCACTTTCTTACTCAGGATTCTATTCTTTAGCTAACCTTAACCCATTATCAAATCGGCATAATGTTGCTTCTCTTTCTTTTTCTATAAATTTTAACTCCAATAAAACTCAGTAATTTACTGCAAACTTTCACTGCAAACTGCAGTACTGTCGACTAATAAGTGACCGGGGTTGATTTTCGGCTGGGGTCAAGGCTAGGGCCTGGTTTAATAAAGTATAGCCGGGGCCAGGGCCGGGTGACTGAGACTGCATAAACATTTATACATCCTAAAGTATATTTTTTTAATTCAAAATTCATGTTATATTTTGTATATAGATGAATATTTAAATATCATTATGACAACATGATAGTGTTGATAATGTTATAATCATAATCATCATTATTATCATCATAATCATCATTATATCATGATCATATCATCATCATTATATCATCATCATTATGATCATGATCATCATTATCATCATGATCATGATCAACAGCATAAAAGAGATAATAAGAAAACTTGATGAGAGTGCCTTACACATTATATGAAAGAGCTTTAGTTAAGAAAAAAAAATATTTTTTTTAACCTGTCTAAGATTATGTCTCATTTTTTGCCTTGCTAGAGTCACAACACACATCTATCTGATCATCTTCTCTTCCAACAAATACTACAATATAATACTTAAGTTTATATAACAATAAAAGGATAATGTATGCCACCATCTAAATAACAAATATATGTGTAAATAAATATAATAATATATTAAAATATAAATATATTATATACATATATTTATATATTAATAAATAAATATATGAATGTATTATATGCATACTATGGATATAAATATATATGTTTAGATCCATAATATGTATGCATGAAGCGCATCTTGGAAACTTTTATTCCTTCTGAAATAAAAGTTTAGTTGCTTTTATTCCTTCTTTTCAATTTTAATTCAAGCCTCATTCTACTCCACATTTTTCACTATCTTGAGCAGTTGCTTTATTAAACATTAATAATTTTTTTTATCTTTTTTACAAGAACATCTCTCTTAAAACAAATGACCTTTTATTATTGCAAGAAGCCAATGTAAAGTCCTGTCTGATGTTAAGATCTGTTATACTCATTGTACCTAATCTTTTATCTTATCTCAGATGTTAGGTTCTAGAGACTTTTGGTTAGTTTTCAACAATGTCATTAACTAAAGCAAGTCTAACATTTAATCTCTTATTCATGGGTCTTATTAGAGTTATTTGCAAAGAAATGTTACTCTAATTTGACTCTTGAATGTAATGGACATCTCTTCTTGCCAGTTAAACAGATTAGCACACTGTTAAACATTAAAATTACTATGGCTTGTAATTCTCAATTTAACACTTCTACAGTTTGTGCTCCAGAATAGACTTCCATCATAGTCTTAAAAAAAGTGTTCTCCAGAACTCTCTTCAATTTTTGCTAAACTTTTAAAAAGTGTTAAATAAGTGGCTCTAATTTTTCAAAAATCTAGAAAACACTTTGATCTCTTTAACTATCCTACGATTAGTTTTTACTCTGTTATTAATTTCTTTCTACAAAGAGTAAATTATTTCTTTCTAACTGCAGTAGTAAAGTTATTCTTGAAGGCCTACCTTCTTTATTTCAAGTAACTTTAAGGGTAGCACAAAGTTCTATTTTTGCTCCTGTTTTGTTTTTTATTTACAATAATGATCTTCATGAAAGTTTGACATCCAAAGTGACTCTATTTGCTGACAGCTCAACTTTGTACCCTTTCCTTGACTAAAAGTCTTCATTATTTGATTGCTTAGAACAAGCAGTTGATTTTCATCTGATCTCTCTTCTTTAACAGCCTAAGGCTTGCAATGGCCTAATGATTTAATGACGAATGGGTTAATGGTTCTGTGCTTAAAATTTTTTGATTTTTGTTAGACAACAATACTCATTTATTTACTGGAAAAAATTGTTGATATTCTTATATTGATGAATATTACTCTCAGAATAAAGTGTCTAAAAGGGCATTGTACTTGTTTGTCATTGGGCATTGTTAATTAGACCTGCTTTATCAGCCAAGATTGAGCCACTCTCCCATTGTTGTAAGGTTGCATTTCTTTCTTTTTTTTATAAATACCATCATGGTCAATGCTCAAACGAGTTGTCATTTCTATTACGATAAACCAAAACTCATTCTTGCTTGGTTCTTATTCAACAAGTTGCATCCTTTTACTGTATCTGTCCTTTCATGTTATAAAAACTTTTATTAATCCAGTTTTTTTCCTTGAATATCAAAAAAACCTAACAACCTTTACTCATCTTCATGTTTTCCATTTTTATACAACTTACAACTTTTTAAGTCTTCAGTTATAAGTTTCCTAGTATTTCAAATTATTCTCTATTTTAAAGTAACTCATTACTTAATTTATTAATACGTTGCTTGCAATCTTGTTGGAAATAAATTAAAGTTTATATATAAGTTTGCCACTATTTAATAAATAGTAAATGTAAGTATAAAACTATAATATATTAAGTATTATAAATATTTTTCTAGCCCCGGCTATCAACCCCTGCTAAATCTTATAATTTTGTCAGGTTTGCAAAAAGTTCTTAAAAATCTTCAAAAAATCTTATAATTTTGCCAGGTTTGCAAAAAGTCTCATTTTTAGCCGGGGCCCCGGCTAAAAATGAGACTTTTTGCAAACCTGGCCTACTATTGATATTTCTATATTGATCAATAGCAACCCTCTCACTGAGTCCTCTTCTTTACATCTTCTTGGAGTATCATTTACTACTGACCTTTCTTGGAAACCATGTATACAATTGATTGCTAAATTAGCACTGCTAAGGCTGCTTCTCTTTATTGTGCTCACCATTTTCTCTCTCCTGATTATATTCTCTACCTCTACAAATCTTTTATATTTCCCTGTATCGAATACTGTTGTCATATTTGGGCTGGTTCTTCTAATGATCCTTTTTTTCTTCTAGACAAGGTCCAAAAATGCATTGTAAATGTAGTTGGACCTGGTCTATCTTCTAAGCTTGAGCCTCTTTCTTATCACTGTAAATTTGCATCTCTTTCTCTTTTCTACAAATGCTGTCATGGACGCTGCTCAAAGTAGCTTTCATTTCTAGTTCCATCAATTAAAACTCATTCTTGTTTGACTCATCATTCATCAAAGTCTTATTCTTTAACTGTATCTGTCCTTGCATGCTTCAAAAACTTTTATTTGTCTAGCTTTTTCTCCGCACACTTCTTCGGAACTCTCCATCTTCATGTTTTCCTGACTCATACACTTTTTGAAGTCTTCTATCAACCGTTTCCTTGCTCTATAACTCTATTCTTTTTTTCTAGTAACTCCTAACTTAATTGTGGTTGCTTGCAGTCTTGTTGGGAGTGAATCAGAATAAAAAAATAAAAAATAAATAATTACTATAATGGGCACTGCTCTAGCAGTGCCCATTATAGTAATTATTTTAATTTTTTATTTTTTTAAAAGAGCTAGTGCCTCTTGTGCTATCTACTAAAATTCATTTTTGCATTACTTGTCATTCAATTGAGTGTCATCCTTTATACTGTGACTGATCCTAGGTGCTCCAAAAATTCTTATTAGTCTAGTTTTTTTTCTTGAACATTAATTATTTTGGATTTGCTCCCTTCTTCTTGTTTTTTAATAATTCATATAATTTGCAATCTTTTAAGTTGTTTGTTATCTTGTTTTATAAGCTTCATCTTTTCTCTTAATTTCTATTAGAGTTAGAATTTACTTTTCCAGTAAATTCTAACTCTAATAGTAATTGCTTGCAGCTTTATTTATTTAAATTTATTAAACACCCACAAGTAAGGTAAATTAAGAGTTTTATACAACATAAATATTAAAAATCTGTTTATATTTATCTTGGAATTTTTTTTTTTTTTTTTTTTTTTTTAATGTGATCATCTAGGAATATCTTTTTCATGAATGTCCTTGAAGATAGTTCTCTGCTCTTTTAAGTTCCAGCACTCAACTGCACATTTTAGAGTTTGAAGATCCGTCTCAGGAATTAAATTTTTGAGGCTGATGATTTTTTTTTTACTTTCCATTATTGTCTCCAGATTTAGTTCATGATTATTGCACAAGCCTTTGATACTATCTAAAAAATGTTGTGGGGCTGTTTTGTTTTTCGCTTTGTTGGAAGTGAAGATTTAAAAAAAATATGTATATAAAAAGTATATACATATTTTTATATATATATTTTTAATATGTATATTTTTTAACATTTTTTAAAACCTTTATAAATATTTTTTTTATTATATGAAATGCTTTATAAAGTATGTTTACTTATTAATTTATTAAACAAACAAAAAAAAAAAAACTTTGTTTTTTATGATTCTTTAAAATAAACCCCTTTTATTTAAGTTATCAAAGAATATTATGCATAATTTTTTTTTTTATATAATGTGTATTTTTTGTGACAAATCTTTTCTAACATTTTTTATCGTAAATTTTATTTGCGATTTATTATTATACAACTCTTGTTAGCAAAAACAAATGTTACATAATATTTTTGGAAACAAGTTTAAAAATGTGTACATTGATTGATTTATTAAAAAAAAAATTAAAAATACTATTGCAAACATTAAATAATATCTTATAAAGAGTTTATTTTTTTATAATTAAAAAAAAACTTCATTTATAGATTAAGCGTAAAATTAAGCAAAAAAATTAACTTTATTGTTAATTTTTTTGCTTAATTTTACGCTTAAAGCAATATAACTCTTGCAAAAAATAATAGTTTAAAAAAATACTATTTTATAATAGTTACATCAGCTTTAGATATAATTAACAGATTATGAGTTATCAAAAAAGTGAAAATAGAAGTTTCTTTATATTTTAGAAAGAATTTTGATAAAAAATCTCATTTAAATTTAAAAAAATTATATATTTTTCTTTCTTGGTTTTTCTTCCTCCTTTCTTTTTTTTTTCTTTACAAAAAATTAAATTCCACAATATTTACATTTAGAAAATTCTAGAATTGTTTTTCTTAATAAGTAAAAAAAACTTTTTTTTTGCGGTAATTTTATTGCGGTAATTAAAAAAGTTAATGTCCTTAAATAAAAAAAAAAATCATGACAAGTTAATGTTCTAAGTCATTTTTATTTAAAACAAAACTTGATAGATATTATAACACTATGCTTGAATTTTTCTTGTAGTGGAACATACAAGACTTAAATTCAAAGAGTTCTCTTTATATGATTGATAATGGTGTGCATTTCTCTGTGTTGTCATGTTAGATTGTATTGTATCTAATAAATTAGTTGAACTTGTTTTTTAAATTGTTTGGCTAGATTTTTTTTAAATAGCGTTAAATCAAATTGCATCTATAATTAATGGAATAGAATTATTTTTCAAAAAAAAAATTAATAGGCTAGATTAAAGTTACTTAAATTAGATATTGTAAACATTTTTTTCAAATTTCTAAATACAACTTTTTATTTATTTAGTTGTTTCATCAATGTCAACGCTGCATTCAGTCTATTCAATCTCAAGCTCGTATTGCATCAAAATCAGAACAAACAGTTATCCGAAATGTCATCTCAAGATTAGCATCACAGTTGCAAGATTTATCGCAAACATTTAAGCAAGGGCAATCAAATTATCTAAAAAGTTTGTTTTTTATAAATGTTTTAATTATACAACACAACCCTTGGAATTAGGGTCGGCATTCGGCAATGCTGACCTAACTTAACTTAAAAATTGCTGACCTCGTTTTTTTTGTTTTATGGTCAGACCTTTATATCAAATAACTTTTGCCGACCTCAAAATTATCGAGGTCAGCAAATTATTGACTACGTTATTTTTCCTGATTTCGAGGGTTGACAACAAGTTATTTTGTAGCAAATAAATTAATTTTTTTTACTTTCCTCGACTGACATTTAAAATGGTCTTTCAAAATAAATGGCTTTTAATGACATACTGAAGACCAAAACAAAAATTTATGTTAAATGGCTACTTGACTATTCAATTATTAGTTTTTTTAATTGGTTTTGTTGATTTTATTTGAGTTTTGTTAACAATATGATACATGGTTATAGTATGTTTGATGAACATAGCAACTAATTTATTGGCTTACAATAATTTAAAGTTGTTATATGCAATTGTCATATAATGCCTTGTTTTTTGACAAGGCATTGAAGCAGCTTGAAATACTGTTTGAAAGTAGTTGCTATATTAAATCTGCTTGAATTTTCAGATTATGAAGACTTAAGTTTACCCTGTTTACCACAATTTTTTGTTGCTTGGCTTTTAAAAATTCTGATTTTAATTGTGTGTGTTTTAGTTATATGCACACTGTGTGTCATATGTCTGAGGACATGTTAAATTAAAATTAACATAAATTAAAAGTAATTAAATAAATCTGAAAAAGATTATTGTATTAAAATTATAAAAGTACAAATAACATTTAAAAAGACTAAAAATATTCAATGAAATTGCCTGCAAAAGCAATAACAGCTTTGGTTCTCTGTTGAATGTTGCACACATTACATGCTCAAACAAATTGCTTTGTGTCATTACTGTGGGAATAGCTCTTAGGGGCTTAATTAATTAAGTCTCTGGGGAAAGAAATAGAGTGACATGACATGTTTGTAACCCTCAGAATTAGGGTCAGCATTTGGTAATGCAGACCTAACTGCTGACCTCAAAGTGTTTGAGGTCAGTGTTTATGTTTTATGGTAACTCTTTTTTGTAAAATTTTTTTTGCCGACCTGATGCCGACCTCCAACAGTTTGAGGTCGGCAATTTATTGCAGACCTCTTTTTTCCTAATTGTTAGGATTGTGTCTGTCATTACTTATCATTTCCAAAACCATAAAAACTTTTTTTTTGATATTAATCTTTGATCTAGGATTTGCACTTACATAAATTGAGCATTGCGCATTGGACTTATGTTGTATGTCTTTGGAAATTTTTTCCTTGAACATTAATGCTTTGGAATTCTCTCCTATGTTTTTCTAACTCATACAATTTATATTTTTTTGAAAGTCTTCTTTCGCTTTCTTGCTATGTAATGGTACATATATTATTTTTGTAATATTCAATTTATAAATTTTGAATAATCAAAAATATAAAAGTGACTCTCATTCAGTTTAAATGGTCTTTGCAGATAAATGATCTTTACGTAATAACAAGAGGGACTAATTTGATACATTTTAACTATTTTTCTAAAATTCTCTGTGTATATAGTCGACCCTATCTTCAAAAACCTGAAAAACTATTTTCAAAAACCCTTTCTTCAAAATTTTTAAAAGCAAACCACAAAACTGCTGTGCCAGAGCTGTAAATTGCATCCTACAGATATTTGTAAGTAAAACAAGTTAAATAGGTTTTTTTCATAATTTTATTTGGAGTCAATAGGAGCGTTAGTGCTCAATATTTTTTGTTTCCAAAATCTGATTACCTAAAAACTTGATTTTTTTTTTTTTTGAATAAAAATAAAATTTGTATAATGATAATTAATGAATTAGTAATGATATAATATTGATATATAATTTAAATAAAAATTTATTTAAATAAAATTTAAATAAAATTTAAATTTAAATTTAATTAAAAATTTAAATAAAATTAAAATTTTAATAAATTAATAATGATATAATTTTGATAATTTAAAATAAAAAGATGTTCCTTCTGGCATCAACTTGTTTTAAAGACGACTGAGAACTTTTGTTGTAATACTATCATAATATTTACTATCACCAGGAAAATTGTAATCCAAGGTTTATGAGTTATAACTAAGGAGCTTTTCCTGTCCTAACTTGACCTAAAATAGAATAATTATAATTGATTTAATAATGATAATTTATGTTGATAGCTTAAAATGTTATTCAATAGGAATGAAAAATAGAGAAGAACGAGAAAAAGATTTTTTTGAAAGTGACTACAAGCCAGATATCAATTTTACCGAAGCAAACTTCGAAGAAAGATATGATAAAGTTTGAAACAATATTGTTTTAAATATGTTTTATAAAAGTATTTTCAATAATATTGATTTTTATTGGTGCCTCGAAAGTAATTTTAAAAATTTTTTCAATAGAGTTTTACTACTGCTCAACTGCAATTGGTAGAAGAAAATAACGAGTTTGTTAAACAACGCGAAGAAGAAATTTCTCATATTATTCGTTCTATTAATGATTTAAATACAATATTTAAAGATCTTGCTGTAATGATAATTGATCAGGTAATTACTAAAAAAAATTTTCAAAATTATTATTTATGTAATGTTAATCAAAATAATTAATTTAAATTTATATTTTGAAATTTGAATTTCTTTTTTAATAATAGGTATTTAGGATTGCTTTTATATTCTTATTTTAAACTTAAGAAACAAATAATAAATATAAATATTAAAAAATATATATATAAAATAATATTGGTATTATATTTTTATTAATCAAGAGAGTTTAAATATTATAAAAATTTAATTATAGGGAACCATTTTGGATCGAATTGACTATAATATAGAAATAGCTTCGGTGACAGTGGAACAAGGACTTCAACAACTACAAAAAGTATGTTAATTTGAATAAAATTATCTTGTATTTTGTTTTAACATATAGTGAAAATAGAAAAATATATTTAAAATATATTTATGTATACTTTGATTTAGATGCTCATTATTTCATTGTTTCAATTTAATTACTCTTTTTTCTTTTTTACTCAATGTTAACTTTTTTCAATTATTACTTATTTTATATAGGCAAATATTATTTATATAAAATAGATTTTCAACACTTAATTTTTTGTTTTATTTAAAATTTATTTTTTCACTATTTTTTTATTTTATAAAAAATGTTAACTAAAATTTTTGTTATAGCACCAAATGATAATTTAAATAAAAATAGTTTTATATTTGTTGTGATATTAATTTTATTTTTATATTTGTTGTGATATTAATTTTATATTTTTTGGGTTAACTCTGGTTATTATTACTTTGTTTATTTTATGTTATTTATTTTTTGTCAATTTTTTTTTTTTGTTTATTATTATTTTATATATTCCTTAAACAAGTTTTGTAGAAATTTTTTATTTATTTTTTAAACAAGTTTTGTGGAAATTTATTTGTAAATAAAATAATCTTTTTTAGAGTGAACGCCACCAAAAAAGTAATCGAAAAATGATGTGTATTTTGTTCTTATCAGTTCTTTTGGTCATAATGCTTATCGTTCTTGTCATAACAAAGAAAAAGTAAATTTATCGTTCTTGTCATTACAAAGAAAAAGTAAATTTATCGTTCTTGTCATTACAAAGAAAAAGTAAATTTATATAGATACATTAGTATTTATTTAAATTCACTCCAATTTATTTTAAATAAGGTTTATTTAAATATAAACTTAGCTATATATATATATATATATATATATATATATATATATATATATATATATATATATATATATATATATATATATATATATATATATATATATATATATATATATATAAAATAGCCTAAATAGATATTTTGGAATTGTTGTTTTTTTAATTGAATTTTTTAGGCTTCGATTAATCTAGATAAATGTTTTGATTTTAAATAGTGTTTTGATTGTATAAAAAACATTATTTTTGTAAAAACATTTTTTTTATGATTTCATTGTATTTAAGTGATATATAAAGCTAAACATCTAATTGTATTTAATTAACAAATAAAATATTTATTTTAGAAAGATTAGTTTTTCATCTTTAATTAATGACCTTAATTGTTAAAAATCAAATCAAAAAATAGATAAATGAATTCGAAACTGATTAATTAATTCAAAACTTTAATTGTACATATAAATGTTAAGGTTTATTTTTTATTTGAACTTTAGAATGAGTAAAACAAGTAATCAATTTTTTACACATTTTAAAAAATTATTATTATTATTTAATTAATTATTTAGTTATTTAATGTAATCTTGCAGTTGTATAATAAAAAGTAATAATTTTTTTATAAATTTTACTTATATAATTTTTTATAAATTTTATTCATATAGTAAAATTTGCCAGGGTCTAGTGTTTTACACATAGAATAGCATTTTTTAAATATATAAATTTCAATTATAAATTAGACTATGGCTCTTAGACATTAGCTATCGGCACTTTTCTAAATTACAAAAATCATATTGCGAATGTTGTCGATGCTGAAAACATCCAAGCGTATTTAATACTTAAGTGTTTTAAAAGTTGTAATCCAACTATTTTCATTAAAAACCTCTACCAATGTAAAACCTATTTTAGAATATTGCTCTTCGGTCTGGTTAAATAATTCAAAAAAATACAAAGAAATAGAAAATACTAAAAGAAAACTTTAATAACATTTTGTATTTGATACTCTTAAAATAGTTGGTTTGGAATTACTCAAAATTTATCAACTAAAGCAAGACTTGGTTTCATGTTACAAAGTTCTGTACAATTTTTTTTGTCTTTATGTGTCAAATTTTTTTTTTAATTAACATCATATTTAAACTCAAGGTCATAAGTTACATAAGTTACAAATATAAGTTACACAAATTAATGTGTTAAGTTGATGTTCGTAAATATTCTTTCTCACTCAAAGATGTTGGTATTTGGAATAACTTGACGTTTCATGTCACCAATGCCTATTATGTAAAAACCTTTAAAACAAAAATTTTTCATCAATTTTTGGAAAGTAATGTTACTGCTAAATGCATCTCATATTTTTATCTTTTTAGTATATTGTGGGGCATGCTGTCATATTTCTATATATTTTTTGGATCTGTGTGTTATTTAGAACATGTATTACTGTTCTAATAAATTTAATCTAGTTATAAAAGTTATTTTATCAAAGTGAACTTAATAAATTCAAATATATATTTGAAAATTAACTTGTATTGTGAAGTTTTCAAGCATGGATGAAGCTGCTGAGCCAGTAATTTTTGCTAGAGACTCAGCACGTTTATTAAAAAAAAACAAGAATCTTTGAAGACTGAGGGGTGGAGTTTTTGATTTATTGATTATACAATAAACAGGCTGTTCTTCCAATAAAATTCCACCTCTTTCTACACATTATTTTAAATTTATTTTTCTCAAGAAATCCTAATTCTAATGTTTTGTAGTGTTTAGTATATATTAAAATAGATTGTAAATATAAATCAGATTATTGTGTAAATTAGTCAAACATTTTTAAATAGAATATTATAATACTAATATTCCATTATTATCAGATAAGTCATCAAAATACTTTTACTTCTGAACAGTTGCAGCAATAAGCGATTTTTATAAAAATAAAAATGTTTCTGATTAAACTGAAATGCTTTTCAGTTTATACTCTCTTGACCAAAGATGCATATATTTATCAAGAAAGATGGATGGCAAAGCTGGCAGAAAAAGAATTTAAATCTTTCCAGCTTTAAAAAAATTCTGATTGTTTTTTATCAAATTACTACCTCTTAAGAATTATTCAAGTTAGGCTAAAAGAAGTATTTTTTAAAGATGTTTAACTATACAGCAGTAAAAATTTTGACCCATGATAAGGCTATAAGACTCAGCATATGGACCCAGGAGCTAAACAGGTGCTGTAAATTCTTCAGAACCTGGTGGCAAGTTTTGGAAAATAATTGTCATTTTGCAAGCCTGGTAATTTGAGGTTATTTATGGTGAGTTTGTTTATGGTTGTTATTTTTAGCTATCAGTCAATCATTTATTTTAGTTTATAAACTGAAACAGTCAAAATTTGTCAAAATTAAAAAAATGCAAAAGCAATACTTAGTGTAGCAAACTCGCTGTAGCAAAGCTACTTGAAAAGTTTTGAAAGTTGCTTGAAAAAAAAGCTTGAAAGTTATTTGTGCAAAAACATAAAAGAATATAAATAGCATAAAGGTAATAATAGTAGAAGCAAGTAAACAAGAAAAAATTTGCAATACTCTAATATATTGTCAATAGACTAATATATTGATGATGAGAAAATAATAGTACAATGAGAAAATTTGCCAGGGGAGCTGGGAAGCACAATAATTGTTGACTATTCTGATTTTGTGTTTTTTTCTATCATGTCAAGTTTTTGAACCATAGGAACGATTCTTTTTTTAAGAAATGTGAAACATTGTATTTAACAGATATGTACTACTTTTAAAAATGTTTACAAATATTTAAATACAATGAAATATAAAAGACATTAGTATCACTATAATGCTTATTGTTTATGTTTTATATGTCAACTGTTAACTAGGTTGTAAACCTGCTCAATGCAAATAAGACTTTATTATTCTCAATGCAAACAAGACATCTAATAAATGTTTTCTTTACCTGGAGGTTAGTGGCAACTAAACCCCTAAGTGGGCCATACTAAAACCCTTAACTGGGTCAAAACACAGAGTCTCAGCTCCCAAATAAAACACGGGCCCTCTAGGGTCCTGTGTAAGTCTGGTTTCAGCAGCGGGTGTCTCAAGTTGGTTTAGTAAATAAAAAAAAAAAAAGATTATAAAAATAACAATAGTAATTGTATTAACAATGTTATTAGCAGGAGTAGTATTACTTTTATTACTATATCAAATTATAATTATTTGTCAGATATAATTATTACTACAGTTATCTTAATAAAAAAAGCATCAGTCTTAATTATTCATTGATTATTGAGGAACAATTTTAGTTTTTCTTTGTTGAGAAATGTTTTCTAAACAACTGTTGTTTAGAAAACATTCCAAACATCAAACTGATGCTTTTTTTATTAAGATAACTGTAGTAATAATTATATCTGACAAATAATTATAATTTGATATAGTAATAAAAGTAATACTACTCCTGCTAATAACATTGTTAATACAATTACTATTGTTATTTTTATAATCCTTTTTTTTTTTTTTTTTTTTTACTAAACCAACTTGAGACACCCGCTGCTGAAACCAGACTTACACAGGACCCTAGAGGGCCCGTGTTTTATTTGGGAGCAGAGACTCTGTGTTTTGACCCAGTTAAGGGTTTTAGTATGGCCCACTTAGGGGTTTAGTTGCCACTCAGCCGAAACTGAGCAGCGCCAACTTAATGGTTTATCTCCACTTGACATCCGGAGTAGACGGATAATCTTGAGTGGATAATCTTTTCTTTCACTTAACATGCGCTCTTCCTCAACTTTTTATGTCGTTCAAGGGACATATAAAAACTAACCCATTACATATAGAAATTAGCTTATAAATTGCTTGCGGGCTTGTTTTTTATTAAAAAGCAATCTTTATTCATTAATAAATGTTTTTATATTTAAAATTGGCTAATATTGCTTGTTATTTTTTTGGTTTTGTTATTCTTTTTTTTCAATAATATATATATTCTTTTATAAAAAAAGCTTTTCATTTTTAAAATTGGCTAAGATTGCTTGTGGGTTTGTATTTTTTTTTTAATTCTTTCAAAAAAACTTTTTTTTAAAACTTTTTTTTTGTTTAATATTAATATATCGGAACTTTTTGCAAAGACTAAAAAGTAGAAAATAAAATATAGCAAAAACATTTGCTCAAAAATATAATCTTTTTCGTACTAAAAAGTAGAAAATAAACTTTTAAATTTAAATTTAATAGTTCATTAAACTAAAGATTGACAGTTATGTTTCTAAATAAACATTGCGCAGACCTGTCAATCTTTAAACTATTAAATTTAAAATTAAAAGTTTATTTTCTACTTTTTAGTACGAAAAAGATTATATTTTTGAGCAAATGTTTTTGCTATATTTTATTATTAGTACACTGTATAAGAATTTTTCTTGTTGCAAAGTGCATTTTGTATGCATAAAAAAAAAAAAGAAAATGTTGAAACTTTACCGAATTAAAATTTGTCTCACAAATTATTTAACAACATAATATTATTACTTTTTAATCCTTTTCCTCTACAGCTGACTTGCTAAATGCTGTAACTGAAAGATTTTTTTGTGCATTAGATGGTGAGGCTAGAGCAATTGTACTTGACATATGTAAAGCTTTTGACAAAGTTTGACATGCTGGTCTTCCCCATATGCTTGTTTTATATGGTTTATCAAGGAGAGTTTTTAAGATTATCAAGTCATTTCTTCTTAACTGCTTTATTTAAGTTATCCTTGAAGGCCAAACTTCACGGTTCCAGGGTATCTTGGTTCTGTTTTGTTTCTTATCTACATTAATGATCTTTCTGACAACCTTATTTCTATAGTAGCTCTTTTTGCTTATGACTCAACTTTATACTCCTGTCTTTGTCCTGTTGATAAAAAAAAGTCTTCTTTTTTCGAGCAACATTGCTTATCAATATTTTTTTCAATCGACATCGCTTTTTCGATCGCTATGAGCAGGCAGCCGATCTTAAATATAATCTCACTTCTGTAACTGATTGGGGCTCACAGTGGCTTGTAAATTTTAACTCCGAAACTCAGTTATTTACTGCAAAACTCAGTTATTTACTGCAAACAACTATCACAGTACTGATTCCATTTTCTACCTCTATAAATCTCTTGCTCCTCCCTGTATGGAATTCTGTAATCATTTGGACTGGTTCTCTAAATAATTTCTTCAGAATAAAAATAAAAAACTTGATAGTATTTTTGTGTAACTAATTATTAAAAAGTAAAAATAAATAGATAATGTATAATACTTTAATTTATAATATATGTCTAATTGTATAATATTATAATTATAACTCAAAATAATTATGTTACACAATGTAACTCAGTGTAATGTTTTTAAAACTTTTAAATGTGATGATGCCCGTGATGTATCGTTTATCAATTGATTGTTACAAAATAACTTGAACATTTAAAATTTATTAAAACAAAAATATTTACAGTATTTAAAAAAATTTTCTTAATGTATAAAAAGATTGAGGTGGCAGAGCTTAGCAACCTGTTTATGTTTCATAACTTTTTTGATTCAGTTTTTAAAACATTTCTCCTAGTTAATAATTATTATAAATAAACAAAAAAATAATTAAATGACTTTTTTTTTTTTTTTTTTTTTTTTTTTTTAGGTTGCAAGCATTGTGCAAAATAAATTTGTTACTCACTTTTTTTTTTTTATTTGATAATTAAGGTGCCCTAATATGTCCTGTATGTGTCATAGAGCACCACAGAAGAGTGTTTTATAGTTTGCACTCCCTCTCTTTATCACCAATATCACAAATATGGTCAGAGCTGGCATAGTGAAATTTTTGGTTCATTATATATGCCTTTTCTACTCTTTTTGGTTCTTTACAAAAGTTTTTTGTTTAAAAAAAGCTAAGCAATGTTTTGTATAAGATTTTTGTAAAAAATGTTTAATGGTTTTGTTTTTAATGTCAAAGAATAAAAATTAAAATATAAATAATAAGCATAAATGAAGAGTGATTAATTATAGTTTTTAATCGTTTTGGTTTGATCTTAAAGTAAAAAAAAAAATGAAATGCACTTCATGGTTGTCTGATTTTGTCAAAAATAGTTCTGAAGAGATACAACCACCTGAATGGCTATTCATCAACCAGGTATGTTATTATTCAGTTGATATATATATATGTATATATATATATATATATATATATATATATATATATATATATATATATACATATATATGTATATATACATATATACTATGTATATATATATATATATATATATGTGTGTGTGTGTATATATATATATATATGTTATTATTCAGTTGATATATATATATATATATATAGGTATGTTATTATTCAGTTGATATATATATATATATATATATATATATATATATATATATATATATATATATATATATATATATATATATACATATATACATATATATATGTATATATATATATATATACTATGTGTATATATATATATATATATATATATACACATAGTATATATATATATATATATATATATATATATATATATATATATATATATATATATATATATATATATATATATATATATATATATCTTCTTTAATTTTCTTAAAGATACCTTAAAATAATTATTTAAGTCAAAAAAATAAGATCCTTAAAATGTTTCGAAATGAAACTGGTTTTTTCTATTCAGTTTGAATAAATATAATTTTTTTTGCAGAAAAGCCCCTTTGTTCAAAACAAAAATCTTGAATTGTTGTTCATTTTTATAATATTTTGAAAATTTAAAGAACATTTTTTGACTCATCAAGTGATAAATAATTTATATTTTAAGCAATAATAAATATATCCTCAAATTATTTAATAAAATGGATTCTATTGTGGAACTATTTTTAATAGTGTCACCTTGATATTAAGTTATTATTTAAAAAATAATCTTGAATCTTAAAAATAAATATCTCGAAACTAATAAAATGTAATTTTGTCTTTTTATCGCATGTAATATTTATTTCCTTAGCAAGTTTTAAAAAAAGACTCTTTTCTAACATTGTACACTTAATTAATTCTTTAAAGAAAACTATTTAAAAAAAATAATAATAGTAATGAATTAAGAACTGCTTTTTTGCATAAAAATATAGTCAACCAACATGTAATTTTGAAAATAATGCAATATTTCTACCATAGGTACAGCTTTAATAGTTTTGCAGGCAAATAAGAATTAAGTAAGTAAACTTCAAGAATAATAAAAAGGTGAATATAGAAAGGTGAATGGTGAATAATGGGTAAAATAATGGGTAATTATGGGTAAATAAGGGAAGTGTTAAGATAAAGATAAGAAATTATTTTGAGTTCACTAGACAACAGTGACCCCCAGCATTCAAGGGTAATTGAAATTACTGATAGGTATAGAATAACCCTAGCTACTGCAATAAAAATAATGGTTCTTAAGATTGGAGTCATTGAAGCAGTTGACAATAGATCACTTGGTACAACTGCAAGTATCACTGGGTGGATGTGTGTCCATTATTTAGAAATGAAGATGGAAACTTTTAATTTTGCATAGCACAACACCACACAAAAACACCACATTATTATCTGTTATCTAATAATATACATTAGTTATTTAAATTACATGATAACTTACAATAATATGGTTACGAAAAGATGAAGTTATAAGATTATAAAGAAGTTTGACTGGAAAAGTAATCTTGAAGCATTTACAGTAAATAAAAAGATAGAAATCTTATTGATTAATACTTCTTATAAGCAAAGAAAAAAAAAACAATACATAAAAAAACATTTTTTTTTTTCAATAAAAATTTGATATACATTTGTTTTTGTATTCAGAAATAAAAAGTCACCAGAAATTGAATGATTATCTTCAAAATTTAACACTTACGTGAATTTATGTATATGTGTGTATGCATAACCTTACTGCAGAGATTGGTTTACAGCATACAGTATGTCAAAAGTAATATTTTTTAGCTAAAACTTTTCAAAAACTTTAATTAAAAAAATTAATATTAATAATAATTCAATTATTTTTAATATATTAGTTATTATTTATATTAATTTTAGTTATTATTAATATTATTATCAGGACTGTGGAGTCGGAGTTGTGGAGTTGCAACATTTGTAGCGGAGTTGCTAAACAAAATCGTGACTCCGACTCTAATAGTAAAACTTCTCTGTATTGCACCTGCATGTACAAAACATTCAATTAACCTTATGTTGATACTAAACCTCAAAGGACGTTTCATAAATTTGTCAAAAAAATAAAAATTGTAACTTATCGCATAATATTTTTAAAGAATTCAAAGAATTTTTAAAAAATTATGCTTTGGAGTCGGAGTTGCGTGCAAAAAATTTCAACAACTGGAGTTGGAGTTGTACTCAAAAAACTTCAACTACTGGAATCGGAGTTCGATTCATTACTTTTTTTTTACAACTCCACACCCCTGATTGTTATATTATATTGTTATTATAAAGTGGCTTCTTAAAAAAATTGGTAGAATGGCTTCACAGTTTCTTGTTTAATAGAAGACAAAGAGTGGTTTGGGTCAGCATACATCTTAGTGGAGAGAAATTTTAGGTGGTGTCCCTCAAGATTTAGTTTTGGAGCCAATTCTATTTGTTATATATATTAATGACTTACAAGACGCAATGAAATTTTTTGCTTCTATAAACAACAAATCAGAAAGATCAAAGGTTCAAGATGATATTATATCTATGCAACAATGGGCAGGTTAATGGTGTATGTGTTTCAATCAAAAAAATGTTAAGTTATGCACTTTAGACTAAAAAATAAAAAATTCAAATTTTTGATGATAATTATGATAATACTAATAATAATAAACAAGAGATCTGGGTATTGTTATCTCAAACTAGCTAAAATGGCACAATCCATTCATGAAGCAGTAAAGAATGCAAATTGAATTTTGGGGGTAATTAATAAAGCATTTAGAAATTTGGATGTCTGCACCATGAAATTGGTTAGTTGTAAAACACATCACTTGTAAAACCACATTTAGACTATGCTTTCTCAGTTTGGAATCCTCAACAACAATAAGATATAGATCATTTGAGATAAGTTCAAAAAAATGCGACCTGCATGTTCCCATTATTAAAAAAAAACGAAATATGAAAAGAGACAAAGTATTTATCCTGGAATCATTTAAAAATAAAGAACTCGATGAGACTTAAAACAAATGTAAAGAATAGTATATGGTTGCAACCAAATTTTATTACAAAAACCAATAAATTTTAAGAGAGTATTAGACCGAAAAAAAGCAGAAATCACAACTTTAGATTCTCAAGAGAATATACTCTAAAATGTAAAGCAAGACTTTTTTTATAAATTGAGTTAGTAATAATTAGAATAATTTGGATTATGAAACTGTTAATGCAAAAACGAAAACTCCTAAAAACAATATTGATAAATTATAAAAGCAAACTTTAGCTGTTATAAAGTCTCTCATGTGATTACTTTCCATGTAATTTTTACATTATGGTTTTCAATTTAATAATTTATGTGTATTATATATGTTTTGTGGAGTTTTATAAAAATTATTCAGTGTTTGTTGGGTCTTGTAAAAATTAACGACAGATAGGAGACTTTTTTTTTTTTATTTATATCCTTTTTTTATTTCATATTTATTTAGCATTTTTTTATTGTTATTTTAAATGTTTAAATGAAAAGATTAGTTGCACTTGAAATAATAGCAAGTTAAAATCATTTTTTTATTTTATCGCATCTTATAAAATTTTAAAGAAAAATCTTATTAAAATTTATTAGTAGTCACTTAATAGAGTCTTTTCAAAATGAAAATAAATTAATAAAGTCTTTTCATTAAAAAAAAAAAAAAAAAAAAAAACATACAAAAAATGTATGTTTTTCCATTATTTGATGTACCTACCTTATTTTTAGTTTTTCTATGAGTATAACCATTTTGTTATGAGGAAAGAAAGGTTTGAACTTTATTATCTATCATTGTACATTATTTTTCATTAAACATCTTTTTGAATTTTAAACTGACTGTCTATTGGAAAAACAATTAAATCTTAATTTTAATTTTGGTTGTAAATGTATTTATATATATTTTATTTATTAAAATATATTTAAACAAAATAAGGTTAGCTTTCTCAGCGTTTATCTGGAAAGCTAAACACCTATTTATGAAGTTTATGAAATCCAGAATGCTAACCATCTATTAATGTAATCTAGAAAGCTAATTATGGGAGACAAATTTAAATAAAAAAGTTTTGTTTTTTTTTCAAGCCTTAACTAAAAAATCACTGCCATTCCACATTGGTTGTTATTGTATTTATTATTATGTATATTTTTATTGCTTTAGAAAATTGTGAAACATATTTATTAATAAATATTTATTATATTTATAAATTATAAATATTATATTCTCTAAGTTATTAAAGTAAAAGTTTAATATTTTATTTTTAACATTAAATAAAAACTTGTCACAAATTTTTTATAATTAAAGTGTATTGAATGGAATGATTGAAAATAATTAAAAATATTAAAAATAAAAAATAATTTATTTCAGATTTCAGGTATATCATTAAATCAACTTGGAATTAATTTTAAATCTTAAATTTAGTCTGCTGGGACCGTACTAAAATATTCTGTAGAGGTTTTGAAATAATTCTGAATCTGAATGCAGATAATTTATTTTCATTAAATAAGAAAAAAGAGTTATTTTTAGGTTTTGCTTATGTTTGTACCATGTGAAAATATATTTTATGTTTTTTATAGTACACTCTTATCTTATCACTCTTATTCTAATTGGTGCACTCTTATCTTATCACTTTTATTCTAATTGGTGCACTCTTATCTTATCATTTTTATTCTAATTGGTGCACTCTTATCTTATCACTCTTATTCTAATTGGTGCGCTCTTATCTTATCACTTTTATTCTAATTTGTGCGCTCTTATCTTATCACTTTTATTCTAATTGGTGCACTCTTATCTTATCACTCTTATTCTAATTGGTGCGCTCTTAACACAAAATAAAACAACTCTAAAATATTTTTAAAAATTCTCTGATCATTTTTTTTATTTAGTGTTTCATAAATTTATATTGTCCTTTTTTTTGACTAGTTTTTAGAACAAAATGACAATGGCATACTCTGTGAAGCTTCTGATAAAACTCACCGAATAAAGGCTTTTATTACCAATGAAGCAATCCAAAACTTTGAGAAGTAAGTGGTCACATCTTAAATTGCCGATAATTAAAGTAAATAACATTAAATGTGTTTTTAATGTGTTTCTATAAATATATTTATATATATCGGGTGGATATGGAAAAATCGGGTCAACTTTAAATTCGGATTTCTCTAAAACCATTAATGCTTTTTATTTCAATTTTTTTCTTATTAAATGTATTTACATAAACTAGAGTTTCAACTTAATTTTGAGGGGCTTGATGGGCTGTTTGGCAAGAGATCGAGTTTTTTAGCAAGTTGATGCCATTATTTCACCGTTTTTTTTCTTTTTTCACCTTATTGGTGGCATTAATCTACTTTTTTTGGAAGTCCGTTTTATTATTTGTTACTCCACCTGTCTTTCGAAGAACTCCTTTAACTATTGCTCAAAAATCTTTAATCTTGCACTCTTCAGGACGATTTGGAGGATTTGCATATTTGGGAATAATTTTCATATTATTATCTTTGCACCACAGTAGAAATTTTTTAGAATAGTGAGAGGCAGCAAGATCTGGCCAAAAGAGACATTGGTATTTGTGTTTTTTCATAAATGGCAAAAGTCATTTTTGGAGGCATTTTTTGATGTAGAGATTGGCAGTCAAGGTCTTCTTAGTGCAAAACAAGTGGACTGCATACCACAGCTACAAATTGCTTGCCACACAAGGAACTTGGATGTGAATTTTTCTTGTCGAATATATTTAAATTGATCATCGATTGGTTTATCTTTGTTTTCATAGTAAAATTGTTGGCCAGGAAGTTGTGAAAAATCTGCCTTGCAATATGTTTCTTCGTCTTCAATTATGCAAATACTTGTATCCCCCATTATTTTAACCAACTTCTTTGCGCATCGAATTTCTTTAATTTCACTATTTAGGCTTCTCTTAGGTGTATTTTTTTTTTTAAGAAATGCTTTAATAAAAGTAAAATTGACTTTACCTTTTTGGATTTATGAAAAAAATTTTTTCTTCCACTTCCAAGTTTTCTTTCGAAACTTTGAGTAGTCTTGAACTTATTTAAAATATCTATGACTGTAGATTTTAGAACATTTGTGCCTTTAGCAATCAATGATGTCAATGGATTTTTTCAAAAAAAATTCACAACTTTAATTTGTTTCCGAAACATTTTGCAAATCAATAATTTAAACAAAACTTTATCAACACCATTAAAGATAAAGAATTAAAAAAAAATTGAAATAAAAAGCATTTGTGGTTTTAGAGAAATCACAATTTAAAGTTGATATATATATATATATATATATATATATATATATATATATATATATATATATATATATATATATATATATATATATATATATATATATATATATATATATATTAGGGCCCTGCAAACTGGCATTTTTTGTTTCGAATCAAATCTCGAATCAAAGCAGGTCTTGATTTACGATTCAAATCATGTTTAGAATTAACATTTTGAAGTCTAAATTTAAACATTTTTTATTTAATAATATATATTTTAAAATAAAATAAAATAATTGTATAATCTCTTTATTGATGTTTCTTGCCCTGGACAGCCTTTTTAATGTCTGATTTAGAAGGTATTTAAGGATAAGTTACATTATTTTAATAGCTTTTTTTATAATAAATAATAATTTTTATTTAGGGTGGTTATAACTACTTTTTTTTTAATTTTGACAAGCAACACTATGTGGTGTATATTTCAAATTGTATTATAATAAATTATTTTGTTATAGTATAAAAAGTTATAACTATATAAAAAAATTTACTCGCACCCCTAAGGGTTGCACCATACACCACAAATTTTTTTAAATCTCTTAACAATTCTATTTAATTAATGTTAGACTAATTTTTAAGTTTTTGTTTGTATGTTATTTTTCTAATTTTAATGTAGGATTTTATGTCCTTTATTAATTTGAACAATATTACTTTGCTGTTAAATTTATGTTAATTTGGAGCAATTTGTTTAAGTTGCAGTAAATTTTAATATTGTTTTAATACATTTTAATCTCTATATTTTTTTAATATATTTTATAGTATTTCTTAGTAATTAAAGGTAATTAATAAAAAGCAACTCATATATGGCAGCATACGCGCAGTAATAGTAGGCAACCTAACATTTAGGCAAGGTTCTAAATTTCTAATAGCAATGATACCTACAAAAAGAGATGTTTTAAAATATTGCTTTTATGTACACAGAAGTAAAGATGCTTAATGTTAAAGGTTAAGTTCTCCTCATAAATGTTATCAATTAGTTACTACAGAAATAGAAAATATATGACGTAAATTTAGTTTTCAAATAATTGAAACTGAAGGATTTTTCTGAAAAGTATGTAGATTAATGGCAAAAGCATCTAATTTAAATAAAATTTCTAGACTTGGAAGTAAAGGTAATTTTTATGCTGCATTAAAAGCTATTGACAAAATGATGGATATATGTTTATGCAATTGTTATGATGCAGGAGTAGAAAAGGAGAAATGCAAATTTTAAACTACCAATAAAAGAATGGGATGTGTTTGTTGGACTAAATAAACACAAAATTTAACTTGGACAACTTGATCATACTTGCACATCTACTTAAAAATAAAAACTGAAACTTAAAAAAATAAATTTGAAACAAGGCATTAGCAGTTATACACATAAAATTTTTGAGATGGATTGCATTACTGATGATAATTTGTATGAATCTTAGGTAAGTATCGAACAAGATGAATCTTATGATGAAAATTACAAACTTTATGAATCTGATAATTTCTTAAACAAATGTAATCAAAATAGGATGAACTGGCAAGTTGATTGTAGCAGACTTCTATTTATGATGAACTGGTTATTGTGGTAGACTGTTATCGTGTCAGTTGCAGAGCAACTGTTGCTATGGTTAATGTTGCTCTAAATAACATGGAAATACTAAATAAATCAAATATGCTTGATAGGAAAAAATAGAACAAGAAAGACTTTGTGTTGGACAGAAAAATGTAATAGGGAAAAAATGTGAAAATTTGACATCTTGAGGAACAGTCGAGAACATATTACAATAGTTTGAGAAAGCTATATAGATCATCTAACACCTGATAATGGAACTTCTCACAGAATTGCTGGTGAAATTCTCTATTTAATATTTGAAACTAGCAGTAGCGGTTCTTGAAATGCTATTTTATGTGATGCAACTGTTGTAAACTAATAGAAAAACTGTAGTAAAACTAAAAGAAACAGAACTTGATAGATCAGTCCACTGGCTCATTTGTTAACTCCATTTAAAAGAACTTCTATTTAAACATTTTATCTGGCTCATTTAACAAGAAATGCAGTTATTGATGTAAAATATAAGGAGGTAATGAAGCAAGTTTTAAAACCAAACTCATATTTTGCCAACACTTAGAATATATTATTGGCGATGGTATATGATAAAAGAAAAGAAGTTAGAATTGCAGCCATACAAAGGATACTTAAGTCCAGAAATACTAACAACCACAATTTAAACTTCCTTCCTAAACAAGCAAACATTTTAAACTTCCTGCAACACTAATTCTTGGAGCCAATGATTAAAGTGGTTTGGTAAAATTAGGTTTTGAGGAAGTTAATTCACCACCTTTACTAAATGTCTTTTTAAATGAAGATATTTTGAAAGCCGATAACAGTTTATTAAGTCCAAACTATTCAATTTCAAAATAGTCCAAGTTAGTTTATTGAATGTTAGTTAAAAGTAAAGTTTTTAAAGGTAATGTTTTATTGCTGGTTGTCGCTGTATTTCCAATACCTAAACGAATGTAACTTGTTGGATTATTTTGGTTAGAATTTTATTTTTCCTTTTTTTTTATATTTTGTTAATTTACATTGTATTAAAACAATAGATAAGTTTTTCTGCTGTAGTTGAGTATTTTGATTGTATCGGTAATTTGATAGCAAAGATAGTTTTATAAAAATTCAAACTTAATTATTTTTATTTTATCTGACTTTATTACATTTGTAAATAATTGAAGGTTTTATGCATTTGTAATTTAAACTTTTGTCACAGCTGTGTGCTGTTTTTAAAACGTTGGCTACTACATTAAAATATCACTTAAAATATCCTTTGAGTTATTTAAATATTACTAAACCAAAAATTTTACTACATAATGTAAGTAGCGTAGAATAACATAAAATCTTTGCCTATGTTAAATGCTCTATACCCAGTTCTTTATCACAAAGCCTTTATATATATATATATATATATATATATATATATATATATATATATATATATATATATATATATATATATATATATATATATATATATATATATATATAATATATATATATATATATATATATATATATATATATATATATATATAGAGAGAGAGAGAGAGAGAGAGAGAGAGAGAGAGCGTTTAAATCATTCAGTAGAACAAAGGAAAATGATTGTCTTTAGTGATGAATCAAGTTTCCAAATTATTAACAGAAAAAACAAGAGATTTGTTTGTCCCAAAAATACAGAAAAATATTTGAAGCAACACTTATTTAGCCGCATTCAAAAAGGTGGTGGTTCCGTCAGCATTTGGGGATGTATATCAGACTCAGGCATTGACTGTCATAAAATATACGAAGGAAGATTAAACCAGTATGAGTATCGTGACATTTTGGAAAACACGCTTATCCCTAGTTGTGATTTGTTCCAGGCTGATCAAAACTGTTTATTTCAACAAGACAATGCTTCATGCCATACAGCACATTCAATCACTGAATATTTCCTTAAAAGTAATATTCGACTTATGCCTTGGCCAGCACGATCACCAGACTTAAACCCAATTGAAAATTTATGCAGCTGGATAGATTATCAACTAACGAAAAAACAAATAACTAGTCACAAAAAGCTTAAACAAGAACTGACCAAACTGTGGCTTGAAATACCAATCAAGATGACTGAAAGCTTAATTAAATCAATGCTAAGGCGAATACAAGCATGTATTCATTTAAATCAATGCTAAGGCGAATACAAGCATGTATTATTGAGGTCATATTCCTTATTAATATAT